CAAATAGTTTGATTAGGGTGCAAAAATAGGTTTTGAATCATTTGAATTGGTTAAATTAGTCCCATTCATTAAATGAATCATGGTGAGTATTACTTATATAAATTTATTCATGCAAACCAGAGCACTGTGAAAACATTTCATCCATACCATTTCAATATCCACTGTTAACTAGGTGTGACAGTGTTATCCTACCTGAGGACAGGTATCCTCTGACAAGTCAGCCTGGAGGACAGACTCTGGCAGCCACATGGCAGACCGACACTGGGGGTATCCCATACAGCCAATGTAAAACCTTCATTAAAAAATACATTAAAAAAAGTTATTTATGTTTTTGTTTGTTGTTTAATGCCGCAGTCTGTAATACGGTGTTAGTCAGTAAATAATCGAGACTGGACAAGACAATCCAGTGATCAACAGCATGAGCATCGACCTACGTAACCATGATAGTGACTTAATGATTTGATCGTCACGATATGGCTGAGATATTGCTGATGTGACGTTAAATATTAACTCACTCACTCACTTAATGATTTGACAGTCAATAGTGACTTATAGAACGAGAATGTGGCTTAATGAAGCAGTAAACATCAAACAATAATGCAAGTAATCACCCTTGTCATGGTACAATGCTGAGTTGAAACGAGCATCATGTCAGTAACTAATTACACATGTTAAAGGATTCAATCTTGTCTCACAATCTCAAGAAACTGGAGCACGTCAGAGATTTCCATCGAAACTAGAAGGGCTGAATTGTTGTAACAGTGTCAATGATTATGGAACCGAATATTCCAGGGTTTCAACCTGATTCCTACACCTGTCCTGGACACCATCACAGGATGAGGCTCTTAGGTTGTTGTTTTAACATCACTGATTATGTGCTAGAAGAAATGATTAACATTCTGCACTTGAATTGTTTGTCAATGGGTGAATAGTCTCATTGTGTTAAAAAGTCAGTGAGTGAGTGACGACGGTTTTACGCCGCTTTTAGCAATATTCCAGCAATATCACGGCGGGGGACACCAGAAATGGGCTTCACACAATGTGCCCATGTGGGGATTCTAACCCGGGTCTTCGGCGTGACGAGCCAACGCTTTAACCACAAGGCTACCCCAGCGCGCCCCATTGTGTTAAAGAAGTGTAAAATGGCCCATCTGCATAAAGCTAACTTCGATGCAATGATTGTACCTGTTTAACATAGACTTCCTGTAGTTGTGGCATTGCCTTCACATTGTGCAAGTGGGCCTAGGTCTAGACATTGTAAATAGTGACCTGTTTGAAATGGAGACACTGAATCTGTGTAAATCAGTTTAACTGCTATGGCTTATCTCACCTGGAAATCAGTTAAAAGCGACTGCTTCGTTATGACTGTCGTAAATCTACGTTAAAGTACGGGAGTTACAAACGTCCCGGCGCTACAAACACTTTGAAGAATGGTGCAGAGAAAAACTATTCAAATGAACCTTGCTCGGCGGGTGGTGGGGTAGCCTTGTGCCTAAATCATTCGCTCGACATGCCAAAGACTTGGTTTCAGTTCCCCACATGGGTATAATACGTGAAGCCCATTTCTGGTCCTGTGATATTGCTGGCATATTGCTAAAAGCGACATAAATCTAAACTCATTCACACTCACTCAACTTGATAGGATGTGCCAGAGCCTGGTCTTATATACTTCTTTAGCCCTCGACAGACAGAACTGGGTCTCCAAACAGCAGAATTAATATCCATGACCCTGACTCCCCACTCACCCTTTTCCATCTTTCTTCACCTTCAGGGCCATGTCCTGACCACACTGTGGACATCTGCGGACAACAGCGGGACCAGCAATGTCTGTAACTGAAAGCAATACATTCTGTCAATGTATTACAAAACTAGACCCTCCACTTGTCAGGCACGATAAATTTAGTCTCCATATCTGAGATGTATAATTGATATCGAATAGACACTTTACAATTAAATTTGTTTATTATAAAACATTATTCATCAACTTTGGACTTGGCAACTTAGGATTTCACCTTTGGTAGCAACTACTAGGAAACAAATTTATTCATACTTTGTAAACTTAAGCTAGACTTCCTACACACCCAAATCATATTTCCTTCAGAAGATTTTTGAAGAGCCTAAGGCAGCAAAAACGAACGTGTGGCCCAAACAACTCAGTATGTAAGAATCTCCACAATCATCCTACCTACCTTCAGCTCCTGTGAGAGCATGAGCCTGTCCAAAGTACTGTGACAGAGCCTCGTCCAGCTTCAAGGCCTGACAATAACATCATTATGCATGAATGCTAGACTAAAAAGGAACTTATCAGATTTGAAAATCTGTAATTTGAAAACATAACTAGCTAAAAACAAAACAGACATTTAGCTCATTGACATTAGTGAAAAAGGAACAATTACAAGTATTGTTAGTAATTGTTAGTAAACATTCCCTCTGGATTATGGTTGCCTTATTTCTGTGGTTACCACAGACACATACAGAAAAATGGAAAAGAAAAAACTATCCCTAAGTCATAGTTTCCCTGGTAGTATGCCTTTCCCCTAACGGAATTAAAATTATTAACTATTTCGCAATGTTATAGAAAACAAAAACGGGTCCACATCAAAGTTGTCAAAGAGCAAAGTAACGATGTTCCGAGGAAATAATTAAACAAATTGAATAAACTAAAGAATAAAATCAAGAACAGTACTCATAACAGTTGTCAAAGGTACATCATAAGTTATTATTTTCCATCTTTTTGAGTGTGATCATGAAATGTAAGCCAAATAACATTTCGGCTTTCGTCGCCTCGAACTTCACGCTTGCACACGATGTTTAATTCTAAAATATATGCTTGAAGCATTTTTGTCACAGGTCATAACCAAGCACGATACGACAACTAAGTTCCTTAAGGTGGTGATTTTGTGTGTAACCCGTTCAGAATAGGATGATTTTACCCAGAAACTTTCGTCTAAATCTAAAGTTTTCGTTTACGAGGATGGTATCCATTGCTGTAATAATATTGGTTGCCTTAGCTCACATGCATGATTTTGACCAATGATGAGCCTTATAGAAGACATTTGTAACTACTCGTGCCATTCCGGCAAGCCGGATGGCGACTCGTACCTCTCTCGTGGCCATGTTCACGACTAGTCTATGAATAAGAAAAGCAAGATTTATGGATGTCATCTTCTTTATTGTGGACAACACGATGTTTTGGAGTGTATGCTTGCTCCTTCATATATATCTTATAATTTTCGTAAAAAATGAAAATATAGAAGAAAAAGGTAAGGGGAAAAAAATCGCTGTATTTTTTGCTTCCTTCGTGGTTTATCTAGACAATATAATGTGTAAACTTACATTTTCATTAAAACATGTAATTTTTTGAGTAAAATTGATATTTTATACTTATCCTGACTCATGCTCTTTTGCTTGTCTTCTTCTTCTTGCGAACATAGTGGAACACTTGTATCTCCTTAATTGAAGCTCCCTTCAATGTAAAATCACTAATTGGTACTCACCACGAGTTGCCTCCCTTGCCCTTTTGGCGGGAACAGGTGTCGCCACCCTCTGGCCTCATGCTTCACTCTCTCCTGATTTTGCGAGCCCAACACTTGAATTTACAGGGAAATCCAAAGTGTTATGTGGGGAGGATGGGAGGGCTAACCTCATGAGTCAGGATAAGTATAAAATATCAATTTTACTCAAAAATTACATATTTTTCCTTATCCTGACTCATGCTCTTTTGTAGTAGAATCCTCTGAGGAAGCGGAGGTGGGCAAAACAGAATACTTTGGATTTATAGAATTAGTGATTTAAATAGATGTAACTGTAATAACCCCTCACGGGGAACTTCATAAAGGCATAGACTTAGGATAATTCCTCTATTATAAGCCATAGGTTATAATGCCATACTGGGGTATTTACATTATGATATACTGAGATATTATAAACAACAATATCAAAGCGACTCTGATAGAGAAGCTATACCATTGAACATATATACATACTGCTAGAACTCCGTAGAGTTATAAGCTAGATAATGCATGTAACAATTATGCATATTAATCTCGTAAGACTACGTGTTAACGTTTACGAGGGACTGTCAACTGCTGTGCGAGGACCAAGGGACCGAAATGGTGAATGCCTGAGACGTCCTCGGTGGTGATATCTCTCAGGTAGTGATTAGCAAACACCATGTTAGATTTCCAAAAGCATCCTTCCATAATTGTATTCAAAGAACAGTTACCGTGTAAGGCGAGAGTGGAAGCTAACGCCCTGATTTCATGGGGATTTGATGCTGTTGGAGGGTCCAGTCCTGCTGCCTTGTAGGCGCGAAGTATGACAGTTCTTATCCATATAGATATGGTGGTACGAGAGACTTCTGTCTGAGTTGTTGCCGACAAGGGAATGAATAATCGTTTGAGAAATCTTCGCCTTGTTTTGGAACGTCGTAAATAGATTTTGAGAGCTCTGACTGGGCATAGAGATAAGTCCAGTGTATCTTGAGATCCGAGAATGGAGGATAATGCAGGGATATGAAATAACCTGTCTGGTTGACCTGGTAGTTGATTTTTGGCGATGAAATCCCATCTTAATCCCAGGTGTGCTGTGTTTTGATTGTCATCAAACTGTATCCTCTCATAATCTAGTGCGTGAATTTCCGACATCCTGGCTGCTGTGGCTAGAGATAACAGGAAAAGCGTTTTCTGTGAGAGAAGCTCAAAGTTTGTCGATTCCAGTGGTTCATAAGCCTCACTTGTGAGGTGTTGCAACACTATATTCAGATCCCAAGCTGGGGCGTGGAACTTCCGCTTTTGGTCCTCCAATCGGAAAGCCCGTAGTAAGGCCAGTAACTCTGGAGTTCTTGTTAATCTAACACCCGTTCTCATGGTAATGACAGAACTAAGCGCGGCAAGATATGTTGACAATGTCGAGCCTTTTAAATGTTTGTTTTGCCGTAAGTAACACAAATAATCTGCCACTTGTGGATGAGTAGCATCTCTTGCTGTAAATCCCTTATTTACTGCGTAATTCTCAAAACTGTGCCACTTGTCGTCGTACAAGTTACGTGTAGAATAGCGTAAGGCAAGCGTGACCGCTTTTGCCGCCCTGGTAGAATACCCTCTCTTGTTTAAACACATTTTAATACAGTCCATACGTGAAGTTGGAATACTTCTGGGCTTCCGTGCACCTGTTTGGTGTGTGGATGTATTAATAGATTTGAGCGCTTGGGTAGCTCTAGTGTTGGTTGACCGATTTCTTGAATTAGAATGGGAAACCACGTTCTGGCCGGCCAGTAAGGCGCGACCAAAGTGAGTTGGAGGCTCTGTGTTTGTCTGATTTTCTGTAACACTTGAGGTATTATTGCTGGCGGCGGAAACGCGTACGCATTGAGGCCTTCCCAGGATATGCTTAGAGCGTCCGTTGCCCATGCTTGTGGGTCTGGGACTGGTGACACGAATGTCGGTAGCTGATTGTTGAAGCGTGTTGCGAATAGATCTACTAGCGGCGCTCCTATTTGCTTGATTATCTGTGCAAATATTTCTGTATTGAGCATCCATTCTGTCGGTGACGGTTGATGTGGCCGAGAGAGTGCGTCTGCTAGTACATTCTTGGCTCCGGGAATGTGACATGCTCTGACATGTAGGTTTAGATCGTGTATTAGATCGAACAGTTGAAAGCTTAAAGTCAATAGGTTCAGTGATCTTGTTGAACCTTGTTTGTTCACATAGAACGCCACTGTCGAGTTGTCGGTATGAATCATTAAGTGCGCATTCTGTAGAATGTTGCTCCAATGAAGTATGGCGTTGATTACAGCTTTCATCTCTAACATGTTTATATGGAGCTTGCTTTCTTGCTGATTCCATAACCCTGATGCGATCCGGTTGGCGAGATGAGCTCCCCAACCTTGGGCGTGGCGTCTACATATAGATGGGTTTTGAATTCCTGCTCTTCTAAACAAATACCTTCCATAAACATTGACCTCCTGGTCCACCATAGTAGATGAGGTCTGAGGCGTTTGGTAGACTGAATGGTTGTAGGTCGTCGAGATGTGCATTGATGAAGACCTGTAATGGGCGTAACTGTAATCTGCCTGAGACTGTCATGTCTTGGGCTGATGTGAGAGACCCAACACAGCTCTGCCATTGTCGTAGTGGTAGCGGAGAGAGTAGAAACTGTGGAATGGTCTGTTGGATCTTGAGCCAGCGGTCTTCTGGTCTGCTGACGATCTGGTTGTGATTAAGTGATAAATCGAATGCCTAGGAACTGCAGATCTTCGCGATGGTACTAGGTCCGACTTGAAATAAGTTTACTAACCATCCTAGCTGTGTTAGTAGCTTTATGATGTAGTTTAACTGTAGTTTGAGATGCTGTGGATCTTGATCTACTTGTATCCCGTCGTCGAGGTAGAAAGCACTCGCGTAGCCCTAGGCGATGTAGATAGGTGACAATAGGTTTAGTTATCCTCGTGAATAGCCAGGGGCTGATGATATGCGAATGGGAGTACTTTCCATTGGTAATGTAGCCCGTCTAGTGTAAATCTTAGATATTTCCTGGATTAGGGATGTATCGGGATATGTAGATAAAGCGTCTTGCAGATCTATACTGGCCATGTAATCCATGGGGCGAATCAACTGCGTAACTGAGGAAGGTGTATCATCGCGAAACTTTGGTGGTTTTGCGTAGATAATTCCTGTTGAAAAAGCTCATGTTGTAAATGAGTCTGTATTTCTCCTTGGAGTTTTCTTGGGTACTAGGAAAACTGGGGGAGTAGAAGCCTGGTTCGATGTCTACTTGATCTAGTACTTCTATGGCCTGCTTGGTTATGAGTGATGTAACCGCCTCTCTTAACTTTGGTAGTTGTTGTGCCTGTAAATTCGAACTTGTAAGGGTTGACTGTCAGCGGGGCGTGGCCTGTAGTGGGATCACGAAATCCGTGTTGAAGAATGTTGGAGACATAAGGGTCTTTTAACATTCCCCAGTTCTCCCAGTGTAGTTGGAAGTCCACCCACTTGTGGCGGTTGTACTGGAGCGGCTGGGGGTGGAAGACTCCAGTCGTTCGAACCTGTCTTTCAGCGTTTATAGTTGCGGGAACCTCTGGGTGTCCTGCCTCTTCCTGACCCTCCTCTATAGTTGCCATATGGGCGTGAAAGAATCTTTCCCCTGGCTGGCTATCTTCCTATCCGTGCTTTCTGTAGTCGAGAACTTAGATCTCCTGAGTATCTTTGTGAAGTCTGCCTGATGGCGGCTTGCTAAGCGTGTCCATCGACTTGATCATAAGGACTTCTCTGGAGTCCTTAGTGACTTCCTTGGAGACTTTGTCTATTCCTCCGTCAAAGATGTTTGGGGATGACCGCGGGGCTGTATAGAGTGGAGCTGTAAAGTTCTCACCCCAGCTGCAGGAGGCGAGGAGGCCTTGACGGACGAGCTAAGGTCAGTGCTGCTGAGACAGATGTGAGATGATCTGTAAGGAACTGCTGGTCCTTCTTTTGCATCAGTAGGGCCGAGTAGATCATCCTATCATCTTCAGAGGTTATTATTCTCACGAAATCTGGTGATAAGTGTCTCATTGATGGTTCTAGATCTATTTAGGCCAAAAGAACATGCGTCTCGTCATGTTTTCTATCTGCACCAGCTTGCGATCGTCAATCTTGTAGTTCTTGTTCTTAACATGGCTGATCAGCTTGTAGTTTTCATCGATGTCTTGTGCCTTCAGGAAGGGGTCCATGTTGTCGCGTGGAGAACTTCTTAAGCGTGAAAGTTAGGCAGATGTGGAGTCTGCACTTTCGTAGCTTTAATGAAGGCTGTATCTAGATTATGTGGCACCGCGGCAATCCGGTCGATTCGATCGGAGGTAAGGTGATGGCGTCTGCATCGTCTTCCTTCATCAGGTATGTCTGCGCTGAGTTGCCACTCTTGGGCCGGTGAAGATAAATCTAGGTTGTTTACCATCAATATCTTATCTCAGCGTCTGAGAAGATGATGCCTCCATCATCTTCTGTACCAACATCGGAGATGAGAGGTTGATGCTCTTCTGATGGTGACCTCTGGGCTGCTATCTCTATGTCGGGTGACACTTTCGGGGAGACCTGAGTGTAGACCTGTGTGCCCGACTTGTGTGATGACCTGCGAGGTGATATGCGTGGAGATCGGCGTGGTGAGCGGCGTGGAGATCGTCTAGGTGATCTGCGTCTATGGGAAGACCTAGATCTGCGAGGAGAATGTTGGCGGCCGTGAAGCTCTTGAATAGTCCCTCGGCGTCCTTCTGGGCGATGGCGATCTGTGTGGCGACCTTCGTGCAGCTTCCTCTGCGTCGGACCTGGGGGCGCCTGACTTCCGTGGCGGTTTCCGTGGCGTCTGGTGGTCTGAGTCTGCATCTGAGGGCGAGGCGAGGATGATGGCGATCTCTCCGTCTTCGCGAAGGCCTTAGCGGCGACTGTACATCGTCCTTCGTTGAGGTGGTCTGTGACTTCCTTCGAAGGCTGCTTAAATCGTGGCTGCTTTCGCTGACTGGGGTGCCTCTGGGGTATCGTCTGCGTTGCTTTCGGGCCCTGGGCTGGCTGCTTCCCGACTGTAGTGGCCCTCCATCATGGTCATGATCTGCGCAACAGCTTCGTCTGGGATGGTCTGCGGCGAAGTAGTCGGTGCCCTCTCTCGCGATGACAGCTGCTGACCCCTCAGGAAGTCGTCTGACATCAGTGTAGAGGCATCAGGCTGCATGGCGATCTCTGCTGATGTCACTGTAGCTGTCACGGTTAAACTTCTTGTGGCGTCGTCAGGGATGATGATCGGCTGATCATCGTAGAGAGCCCAGTTCGGCGGCTGGAACAATCTCGGCTGAAAGTTCTTGGCGACCGTAGACTTCCCCTTAGATGTCGGCGCTGCCCTGGGGAGTCGAAGTCTGCGTTGGGAAGGCGTCGTGGCCCTCTTGGACTTTATCTGCGATGGCGGGGCGTCTGGGGAGGCAGGGCGCTTCTTAGTGTTGGCGGACTGCATCCCGCCCATCTTCCGGCCAGTCTCTTGCGAAACACCAGGCGGGGAGGGTCTATCGACAGCAGCTGACTGGAAGGGAATCCGATGTATCGGCCATGTCTAACCCTTGTTTGCGTGACCTATCTGCGGTGCGTCTCCGCGGCCTTAAAGATATTTATGAAAAGCAGAATTGGATAGATTAATGCAGTAACTGCAGCGTGTATCAAAGCGCACAAAGGCGTAGCACAACTAGGGCATAATACATGCGGGTCAGCAATTGAAAAGCGTAAATTGCAAATGGTACAGATTTTCATCAGCGTAAATACTAGCTGAACAATCCGCGAACTCCGCGTGAATAAACGGTAGAAATCACGATTAAATATCAATGCAAATTAATGAAGGATACTAGCTATACCTCTATAGTAACCTATAAGAGGTAATAAACTAAGAAAAACCAAAGGATATAGTGTGTAAGGAGACACAGGCTCTCACATCCTGCTCACTGGTGAAGGGAGAGTGAAGCATGAGGGGCCAGAGGGTGGCGACACCTGTTCCGCCAAAGGGCAAGGGAGGCAACTTCGTGGTGAGTACCAATTAGTGATTTTACATTGAAGGGGCTTCAATTAAGGAGATACAAGTGTTCCACTATGTTAGCAAGAAGAAGAAGACAAGCAAAAGAGCATGAGTCAGGATAAGGAAAAATACGGTGACAAGCCGCTTGAATGAGACTCAAACCTATGCTGGTGCATGGGTTACATTACATACTTATTACTATAGCAGGGCTCCAGATAAGGGCCGTATCGGCGTAAATACGGATAGAAAATATGCAGGATACGATTGGAAATAAATTAGAAAACGTAGCAGATACGCACCACAGCAATGGTGTTCGGTCTTAAAATCATTTACAGACATATTTATCTGAAAAAGTACTGTTTTATTGTTTATTGACCTGTTTACACAAGAGTAGCAATGTTGTGGTGCATATATGAAATGAAAAAACACAAGATTACTGACATGCCATTAAATTCCATTCAGTACTCTAAATGTACTCTTAAGTTTTTCCAGTACTCCTATATTGAAAACATAAGGAGTATGTACTCCTGATGTTGAAAAATTATCTGGAGCCCTGCTATAGATTGGAGATGTCACACACTGGAAATTGGAAATGTTTCCATTTGGGCAAACTAGTTTGTCACATATCACAAAAAAATGCAGTGGTCAAGGGAGATAACACAGCTACATTACCTGCTGGCTCGCCTCTATAAACACAGCCTTGTATTTCTCAATCTGCTCCCTCAGTACAACTAGAAAGTAAAGGTGTACACTCTCATTATGGTTCCTATCAAGCTACCGTGTAACGTAGGTAAATATATAAACTCCGCTTTATCATGGACTATATGAAATGGAACTGATGGGAAATTATATATTGAACATCTGACCATTGATATTAAAGAAGTAAAGACAATGAAACCAACTTACTATTTTTGTCTTTTCGACCTTCACATATCCTATAAAAGAAATACATATCATGCAGTGAGATTTTGTGTATTGCAAAAGGGAAAGATTAATTGGAGTGGAACTGTCACAAGAGAAAAACACATCTTTGATTTCTACACATTGGGTGGTGTTCACAGCAAACAGAGGAGCCTAGTGGTTCATGTGTTGCTTGTCAGGCTAAATCAGGACATAGGTACAATGTGTGAAGGCCATTTTCAAAGTCCCCTGTTGTGATACTGATGGAATAATGCTAAGAAACATGTAAAAACATTCTCACTCACTCTTCAAACATACTTGCCGATTTTCTATGTGTTATACATGATAATATAACAAAAACGTTTTTGCTGTGTTAACATTCAACTAAAATGATTATAAAGACTTTTATCTTTACCTTTGCAAGTCAGCCTCCAGTTCAGACCTCAGGTGTGGCTTGGACATTTGGTATCCCATCTCATCATATCCTACAACAAACAGTCAACACCTGTAGTTTAGCTCAACCCGTATGAGTTATTCAACCTATGCTTGCTAATCAAGGGTTTGGCAAGGTGCCTTGGTTGACTGTGTGTCCTCAGACCCCAATGTCTTATCATATCTCGTCTGGGACTAGTGTTAAGGACTGCTATGTATTTCCTCCAGTGTTATTGACACGACTACACTGAACTGTGGACCAAGCATCATCACTATAACAAGTTGTAGCCCTTATATTCGATTAGATTACTTTGTGGAATATACGACTACACAACCATCTACCGTCTCACAATCACATTCTCCTACTGACCTTCCACAAGTCCCATCCCGAGCTGTCCAGGCACAAAACGTCCATCAGGACGAAGACCGACGTAACTTCGGACTTTGATGGTTTCAATGTGATCTGCGTGTGTGGCATCAGTACCTGAAATATCATTATAAGATTGCAAGTCAGCATCTGAAGCGTCTCTGATTGTCCAGTGTTGGATATGTCTATTTTATATGGATCATTACCCTGGACTTCGTCACTATGATAGCTTACTGGAAAAGGAGATGTGCAATCAAATTACTCTCATGAGCCAGAGACCTTGTGAGGAAAGACAAAGATATGACCAGGGGTGATGACATTCCCAAATGAAGATAATGGGTCATGGGCATTTATGTATTCATATATAATGGCCAAATAGTAATCGAAAATAGACTGACTGACTGACTGAGTTTGGTTTTACGCCGCTTTTAGCAATATTCCAGCAACATCACGGCGGGGGGACACCAGAAATGGGCTTCAAACATTGTACCCATGTGGGGATTCGAACCCGGGTCTTCGGCGTGACGAGCCAATGCTTTAACCACTAGACTACCCCACCACCCCTGAAAATAGACAATGTACTTGGGAGTTATTTTTCACTTGAACAATAACTGAAATAGTGACAAACTGTTCACCCACCAATTCCATGTTTCTCCATGAGAGCTATCAGGTCTGCTTCAGACAACAAAGGTGGGGGCACTGTCTCACTACATGCCATCTGTTTGAGAAAGAAAACTCTGGCTAGGCAATTGATGAAAAAACAATAACGTTAATATGACATCAAAAAGGTTTCTCTGCAACACTATACCTTCGCACATACTTACTGGAGGTTTACAATATTCCTACTTACCTCCATCAGGCTTGGTTCAAACTGATCTCCCTGCTTGTAGATGGGGATTTCCTGCAAAGACATAATGAAGTATTAATGTACTTGCTAACCCTATGAATAGAACAGGTGTGAATGAGTGAGTACAGTGGAAGCTGTCAAAATCTGCAGCTGTCCAATCCGGCAAGTTGTCAATACAAGAGTAAAATCTCAGTCCCATCCGTGGCTAGTACACAATGTGTGCAGTAACTGAGAGAACCACGTGATACAACAATGTATATGAGAGTGACAAAACTGGTTCAGTTCTAGTCATAGGTAACTGTGTCAGCTCTACAATACGACACGCTGTCTATCCGGAATATTTCTTCAGTCCTGACGAGTGCCGGTTTACACAGCTTCCACTATATGTGTCTAGATTGGATGGTTTGTTGTTTAACACACCACACTCAGTAATATTCCTGGTCTGTAAATAATTGTGTCTGGACAGACAATCCAGTGATCACCATCATGAGTTCTATGCAACTGGGATATGATGATATATGTCAACCAAATCAGTGAGACTGACCACCCGATCCCATTAGTCGCCTCTTACAACAAGCATGGGTTGCTGAAGACCAATTCTAACCCAGATCTTCACATGTATGTGTTAAGAGGAGTGAGCGAGTGAGTTTAGTTTTACGCTGCACTCAGCAATATTCCAGCTATATATGTTGGCGGTCTGTAAATAATCGAGTCTGGAGTGGAGTGAGTGAGTGAGGAGTGAGTGAGTGAGTTTGGTTTTATCACGCTTTTAGCAATATTCCAGCAATATCACGCGGGGACACCAGAAATGGGCTTCACACATTGTACCCATGTGGGGAATCGAACCCGGTCTTCGGCTTGACCAACCACTAGCTAACGCTTTAACCACTAGGCTACCCCACCATCGCCTCTTTAATCGAAGTCTGACCAGACAAGCATCAACAACAAGCATGAGTTGCTGAAGATCAATTCTAACCAAGTCAGACCTTCATGGGTGTTGAAGTCATGACCTTCATGGGTTTAGAAAGATATGAGGAATCATGATAACGATATTACTCCAGAAACACACCAACATTCCACAAAGTGGACCATTTTAGGTCAGTCAAGAGAATGAGCAACCTATGTCACATTATAGCAAAAACATTAATTCACTGTAAACTATGTTCAATATAGGCCTCATATCTTTTACACTGGCTCATATTAAAATAGGTTCGAAAAGAGACTGATCAAGTTATTTGTAAACTCAGTTGTGGTATAACAATTGTATAAAGGTCAACATTTGAAAAGGAGATCATTATAAATTCTTGACGCTCCTCTCTTTAAACAGTTATGACAACTCAAGGGTGAGAAAGGTAGTGAGAATGAACATTAAGATGTTATTTTTAAGTCACCAATCCTACCTTAGCATTCCATTTCTCATATGGGTAGACCTCAAGGTAGTTCCTGGCAATGATCATCAAACCACTGGCTGCAAACTGAACATTAATACAGTTATTGAGTGAAAGAGATGGCACATGAGAGAGAGAGAGTTGGTTTGTTTAGGCCAGACCAATTTTATTTCTTGTTTTATGGATTTTTATCCTCAGAAAACCTAAAGGCAGGAGGGGAAAAAAAAATAAAAAAATCACCAGTCAAAGTAATATTCCTTCTAAATACTAAAAGTATTTTACGTTTGGCAATTTATGAGGTGTATATGGGGCAAACTACAATCTGAAAACAATTTTCTTATAAGTTTACATTCGGAATTTTTTTCTCTTCTTATTCTTGAAAAAATGCGACTGGCAGATCCGTAAAACAAGAAATAAAAATGGTCTGGCCTTGACGCCACACCCAGCAATATTCCACCTATATGGCGGCAGTTTGTAAACAATCAAATCTGGACCAGATAATCAAGTGACCAACAGCATGAGCATCGATCTACGCCATTTATGACAACATGACATGTATCAACCAAGTCAGCAAGCCTGACCTACCAACCCTGTTGGTCGCCTCTTACAAGAATCATGGGTTGCTGAAGATGAATTCTAACCTGGATTTTCACGGGTATCAGCACAAGTATGCCAGTGTTGTTAATGCTGCAGTCAGCAATATTCCAGTGTTATAATTCCAGATCAAACAAACCAGTGATTGACAGCTCGAGCAACAAATTACAACCCATGCTGCATGACCGGGTATGATGACACACTATCGGCAACACTGGCTACCTAAAACACTTCAGTTGACTCAAAAGACAAGCATTGGTTATTGGGGTCCAATTCTACCACGTTATTCCCAGAGGGGCAAGATTACAAGGTGGATAATCAGAAGATATTTACCCAATAACATCCTCATTATTACAAAGCCTCCCTGATTTTAGGTGATAACAATTGTTATTTCCCCTACCCTCTCCTCTGCTATGTTGATATCAACTGTCGTCTCCATACCCTGGGCATCTTGGGAGCAGCACGCAAGAAAGTGACGAACCACGAACTCATACACACGCTGATCATTTCCCTGTAACACACATCAAAGTCTCTCTGGTAACTACTAAATGTGTCTACAAATCAAAGGTGAGTTCAATTCTACTTGATGTTTTAGCAACTTAATACAAAAAGTAATAGCTTCCAGTACCATCTCGAATAAATCAGATTCTTAGTGGTCGTGATCGCCACACAAAGATGAGGACATCCTATTACAGGTCACTTAAGGAATTAGTTGTACAGCTCAGAACTGTCGTTTGGGGTAGCCCTTATTGACATTTTTAAGTTCACCTTTCATGATCAAGTGTGACTCTAAGTGATTGGATGAAAGTTTGTTCTGAGCTTATCTCATTTTAGGAAGACCTAAAATAAGAAGTTTAGTCAGGATTGACTTAGAGGAATGTTTATCAAACTTTACATCTTGTCGAAAATTCCTGTAGTAGATTATTTGTTTGTGAATTTGTAACAAATATTTTTCTTATTGGATTTCTTTATTGCATACTGTATATTGTAAATAAGTTTTGGGATCATCTTGATTTCAATCCCCTTAAAAGCTCACAAGGTTAAAAATATCAATATCAAAGAGCAAAAAGTTGTGAGGATGAACATTTTACATTTTCACATATAAACAACATCTCAGTTAGGAGTAACCTATTGAGACAGACTTGGTGCAGTAGTTACCTGTAGGGTGGCCGTGTACTTGATGGGGTGTATAGGGGGATGGGCATTATCAGTCTTGTTGCCATTTCGGGGATGAATTCCTTGCTCCAAGACTCTTTGTGCAAAACCTGATAAAGGTAACAACGCTTACTAAATGAAACAAACAGATGTAAGAGGTTGTTTGGTTGTTTAATCTTGCAATGGCTTTACCCATGTCTCTGTGTTATTTGTACACTGCCAAGAAGTGAATTATAATTTTTTATATGTTGACTGGCTAGTGTGTTCAGACTGTTTGACAATGTGACATCATATGAGCCCACTGTAGCAATTAATGAGATCCATTTACTTGAGACTGTGAGAACCATGTCCAGTTCCGATCTTGTGTCTAGTGTCGTGACTGTGATAGAGGGTCCCTACCTCCCCTGTTGGAAGTCTTGCGTTTGGTGTCCTGACTATGAGAAGAGGGTCCCTACCTCCCCAGTTGAAGTCTCGTGTTTGGTGTCCTGACTATGAGAAAAGGGTCCCTACCTCCCCAGTTCGAGTCTCGTTGTCCTGACTATGAGAAGAGGGTCCCTACCTCCCCAGTTCAAGTCCAGTGTTTGGTGTCCTGACTATGAGAAGAGGGTCCCTACCTCCCCAGTTCGAGTTTAGGGTGTTTGAGGGGCTCAGTGTTTGAGGCCCTACCTCCCCAATTAGGGTCCCTTGTTTGGTGTCCTGACTATGAGAAGAGGGTCCCTACCTCCCCAGTTGAAGTCTTGTGTTTGGTGTCCTGACTATGAGAAGAGGGTCCCTACCTCCCCAGTTCAAGTCCCGTGTTTGGTGTCCTGACTATGAGAAGAGGGTCCCTACCTCCCCAGTTCGAAGTCCTCGGTGTTTGAGAAGAGGGTCCTACCTCCCCACCAGGGTCCCGTGGTTTGGTGTCCTGACTAGAGAAGGTCCCTACCTCCCCAGTTGAAGTCTCTCGCTTGGTGTCCTGACTATGAGAAGAGGGTCCCTACCTCCCCAAGTTAGGGTTTCCGTGTCTGGTGTCCTGACTATGAGAAGAGGGTCCCCTGACCTCCTCCCCAGTTGAAGAGTCTCTGCTTGAGGAAGTGTCCTGAGAGGAGGGTCCCTACCTCCCAGTTCGGTCTGAAGTGTTTGAGAAGAGGGTCCCTACCCCAGTCCTGCACCAGGCTTTGAGAAGAGGGTCCCTACCTCCCCAATTAGGGAGGAAGATCCAACTTTGGGGAAGATATTGGTTTCTGTGCGAGGATAGCTGATGAATCCCTGTGTGTAGAGCTTCTCCGCAATCTTCATGGTTTCCTTGGCATTAATCCTCAGCTTTCTGGATGCAAGCTTCTCCATTTCCTGGAAGTTACTCGTAAATAATATTTGTCCACTAAAGCAGGCACCTTGTACTGAACAACCAGTGCTACAGACTGTATATGGGTGTGGGTTACTGATCCCCAATAGAACAATGACTGCATTCCATGCTGCAATAATGTTACTGATCATGTGTTCTGGGGTTAAAGCATTGCTCACTATGAGGGTCATCTTGGTTGTGATAGTAGTAAACTAATGTCAAGAATTCATAACCATATTAATCCTTGTAACAGAAATCAGTAAAAAATACCTGACATTCTCAAAGACTGCCATTTATCTCTACTCTGAACATGGTGTAAATCCTTGCTAATAAACAACAACGGCAGTTTTGAAACCACACATTATACATATGATTTACTACTTGCCTCAATCTTAACTATCTGCATACTACCTACATACTACCTACAATACTGTCAGTATATTTAAATTCCTATTACTATTGTAATAACCAATCTATCGCAATATGTAACTATGTCATCACACTTCTAAATTCCAGAGAACATTCTCTCAGTATCCCTATATATTAGCACAGAAATCCGTTTGTGTATACACTGTACATGAAAGAGAAAATATTTTACATCTATGGTTACAACTCAGGTGAATTATTCCTGTTCTTCGCTATAACTCACTAACATCAAGCCTTGTCATCATACATATGGTGGTATCTATTTTCTGATCCAGTTCAGATAATCACAACACCTGCGCTACTCACCACAGTGTCCAGTGCCGTGGGCCGCCACTTACTCTTGTGCTTACTCTTCACTTCCAGCACCGTTGCTACAGGGTTCTGCATGGCATGGCCAAGAAAAATTATTTTTGATACAAAACTTCACATATAGCATAGTAATCACAAATCCTGAAATTTTGCAAACACTTAAAGGTCACATGCAAGCAAAAAATCGAACATAATTAAAACACAATTATCACTTATTCATGACATATAATATACATTGCTGGTTACGAAAAAATATATAAACAAAATTATAAGCGTACAATCGCAAATCGAAAGTGCAAAATTGTGTACTTCGGTTTACTTCCCAAGAAACGAAGCAGCCCGGGATACCGAACCCAGTCAGAGCGGGTGGGTGTGCACTCAAGTGTAACGGCTGGTTCATTTGCAGATGCCTTCACGGCTAATTGTGTGTATATATATATAGAGATGTTGGGTTTTGTAAATACATGCTCATTTTTTGTGTATAACATTTTGCAATCAACAGACATCATAACATGTCATGTGTTCAAGTATCACACCTGCCTGTCTGTGTAATTACATAATGTGACAGAGACCGAACTCGGGCCATAAATCAATGCATTTTGTTTATGGTGTATAGCCTGATTGGTGTTAAGTTCAAATTGCATGTGGTCAGTGATAGCAGCTGTGTATTGAATATTGTCATTAGCAGACAGGCAGGCAGACACACAGGTGTCAATAAAACAAGACATTGAGTTCTGTCTGTGACAACGACATATCTATATCACAGTTAGAAATTCTGTCAACACTAAATAATGACATTGCTTTTAAGTATCGAACTGAGAAAGTGTCTCGGTAAGAAGAAAGTGTGGTGAAACAGACAAATGAAATTATATAAACAGTTAATTTACTGTCATAACATATAAAAAGCTCGAGATATCAACAAAACATTAGAAAAATAGCTCACACCAAAGCCTTCACCGAGTATTCACCCGACAACCCGCTTCCAAGCTGCGCGAACCTATTTACTTGCGCACGTGCTATGAGCGCAGCCCAGCTGTTGAAACCCGTTTTCCCCAGAAAAGTCTGGGGAAAATTAGTGAAACGTTTGAACTCCGATTTCGCGCGTTTTTTTTCATCGCGTTATTTTTCAACTTTATAAGTTGAATTTGCATTTTTGACGATTTGTTTCGGTATGTCCATACGGAAAGGTATCAGAATCTGCAAAGTTGTGTTTTACGTTGCATGTGACCTTTAAGAGACACTGAAGAAAAGAACTATAAAATGAGGTATTCTCTATAACACAAACAACAATAACACAACACTAAAAGGGATGTAATGTCGAAGGTATATATATTTGTCCTTTGTGATATATCTTTTCTCAACATAAAACTTGATAGTAAAGATATAAAGCTGATCATTTAATGAAGCTGACATTTGATTGGTTCAAAAGCTCATAGATCCATATTTGTAACAGATGATCAGGGAAACCAGTAACCTGACATGACCTCCTGTGGAATGCATGATGAATTGTTAAGCAGAGAGGTGTCATGTCAGAGGACAAGTTTTTAATCAGATTTTATTTGAATGAAATAGCATGCATGTCAAGAGAGAGGATGCAAGATGAGAAAAGCATACCTCTATGCACTGCTCAAAGAGAACAAGACATGCAAGATGGTCAAAGAGACGATTTCTGTAACACAGTAAAACACACAATTATTCTCTCATGACATTGTGTAAACTAACATTGATAATAAAATTCTAAATGGGTTGAAAAAAAAATAATTTGATGATTTTAGGTATGAGGATATTTTACACCAGTTTGGATTGCAAGCACTTTTGTGTAAGGCAGATATGTAAATATCTAATTGCGATAAATTTGTTTAAAGTCAGATGTCACCAAAACAGTGAGTGAGTGAGTATAGTTTTACACCACAATCAGCAATATTCCAGCCATATGGTGGTGGTCTGTAAATAATCGAGTCTGGACCAGACAATCCAGTGATCAATAGCATGATCATCATCATCTAAGCAACTGGAGTAGTAGTACAATGATGGTATGGGACCACTTCCTCCTAGGAGTGTTAGTGCTGTGTAATTCCTCTCCCAACACACAGTAAAAATGATGATTTTCAAGCAGGAGACATCATTCGATGTCCCGACTAGCTCGCCAGCCTAGACCCGTTAAGTTTGCACTGTGACTGTCAGCCGTCCCGACAGTGTGGTGGAAGAACGTTGGACTGACAATACTAAGGCCAGGGTTTCGAGCCGAGCCAGGGTTTCTACTGGTTTAGACAGCCCCATATTGTTATAAGAATCTCATTTTCGCTTGGGCAACCCATTTTTTCAGCAACCATAAATCCATTTTTCAACCAGCAAACTATATAGATTCCCAGTCTAAATACTCTGTGTCCGTCGAGGACTTTTTCTTATAATACTAATTTCTCTGCGCCGCCGCCACACTGCCATGCTCCTTGCATAACTTCAAAGGAGTTCTCACACCCTTTCCGCTCATGTGTTGAGAGCATCTAGGGCCTCTACAGTTTTTCCTACACAAATTGGTTGTACCGAGAAGTACGTAAGAACACTTATTCAAAACCATGGTCGCATACTCAAAGTCAGCCATGCGTCTAATTGAGCAATAAAAGTCTCATTTAGAGCTATGTTTTAATATAGCTTTAGCGATGATGATGACCGTTAAAGAGCTGCGATCTGACGCTAAAAAAAGACGTCTCATGGGCTCCTCCCATCTGACTAAACCCAAACTGATAGAACTTTTTAAAGAATGAGAGGTCGTATTCACACCAGCCGATGTCACGGTGGAAGGCTTCCTCAGATGTTAAGAGAGAATGCGAGGCAGTGAAAACATAACACTGGATAGAGTCAAACCCATTATATACGACAAACTCAGGATGGAATTGTTCGATCTGGGTAGTGAAGTATAAACTTTTGGTCAAACTATCGATCACGAAATCCTCTGGATACACGAGCGACAGGTCTGAATTCCTTCTCGTAGGAGGGGTAGAAGCAATCGGAGAACCATTGCCTAGACACACTGAAACGATCCATCAATACAACACCGTGAGACTAACGCCTTTAACCCCAAAAGATGGCACATTGTTAAGGGAAAGCATTGATGCATCAATCAAAACGATCAAGACAAAACTATACGAGTGGGTTAAACCCGATGTGACATGGTCCTTAAACGAAGTCAGCGGTGTTTACATCGACGTAGTCAATGCATCTCCACTACGTCGTAGATCTTACCTCGAACTGCCCGCTTATTATTCGAGAAATAACGCCATCATCAACGTAAAAAACAGAGACAACAACTGCTTAAGATGGGCGTTAACATCGGCCCTAAATCCCGTCTCATTAAAAATTGCAACCAGTCCTTCCTCTTATAGCAAAAATGATGGTTTAAAATTCGTGGGTATAAAAACACCCACACCGCTTTCACAAATCACCGAAGTAGAAGAGCAAAACAAGTTGGCGATCAACGTCTTCAGAGACCAAGACGGCATCGTTGTCTATCGAGTTAGCTCCGCACCCGCCACGATTCCTCGCATTCATTTATTCCTCGTCTAGAAGGGCGGTAAATTTCATTACACATGGATTAAAAACTTAAACCGTTTCCTATTCAATCCACCCGACAAGAAGTACTTTTGCAAGGTCTGTCCAAGGAGCATGTGTGTTCGGGGGTAGACCAATTACTAGCCAACAGACAAATCATGGAAAACAAGTTGAAATAGGACTGTTGCAAATTAGGCATTATAAACGTACTTTGCCACTCTTTTCTTTATTAAAAGTTAATCTTACTGTCGTCTAATAGGACTTTCATCGCCTGTTAAATATTAGTGATGACATAGGAATATCATCATCATGTGGAATATTCCATCAATTCCCCCTGAAAGGATATTGTGTGAATGGTTTGACCCCACCAAAACGCAGTCTATTTTAGATAACGTTTTGTCTACCGACGATGATTTACAATGGCTCATCACGTTGATATGCAAACCTATTCGCCGCTATTTATCAACGCATGACATCCCCCCCGATATCATCGTCAAACTTAAAAAAATGTCCGGTTGAAATGATATATCAGCGTGATTGTATTCGTCAGTTATTTTACGACTCGTTTCTTCACAATAAGCGATTTCATCATCAACAAGTTAAGGCTTTTGTGCTCGCGTGCAAAATAGAAACATCATGTTATTCAGCAACGACTGATCATTGTTAAAAAAAGTAAAACGATGATCATTCAGAATTCAGATACTATTGGGTTTGTGCAGCAGTATTCATCTAAATGGGGCGAGGTTAACGCTAATATCGGTCCCCTGGCCGAAACCTGTCAGTTATGGGGTACGTATTTAATCAATCAATTACTCAATCATAAATTATCCCCGCATAAAATAGGATTTCTTCCCGTGGTTCAATTAAATCCACTGGCGAGTTATGAAGAACGACAAGAAATTATTTCACGGAATCAACAAAAAATTGTTGAAAAAACGTCTAAAATGTATTGCTGCCCCAATTGTCAGGCTCGAGAATGCGTGTTTCACGAAATTCAAACCTGGTCTTTAGACAAGCCTGCTACTATTTTTAGTACGTGTAAAAACTGCGGACAAGAATTTAATGGCTAAGAATCTCATTTTTTCTGCTACATATAGTGGGGATGTCCGAAGGGGACCTTGGATACGGGTTTGGGCATCTTCTCGTTGAATGGTCTCTCGACCGGCAGCGTGCTGTGTTTCCAGGTCTTGTAAACGACCTTCCAGAGAAACACTGCCGCTAGTGAAAGGTAGGTAGTCGTCGTCTAGTCTAGACAAGATGTCGACCAACATCGTCGTGGTTTGCTCCGCACGAGTCAATAACATCGTCGCGTTTTGCTCCACACGAGCAGTTGTAGAATTCCTGGATGGTCAGATTTGGAGGGGGCAAGAGGGTCGACAGTTCTGCAGCAGGCAATACGGTTGGTGCTGCTGGAGGTCTGGTCTCATCGGCGGGCAAGAGGGTCAAAGGTTCTGCAGTAGGCTCTCACCATAGCTGGTACAGCCTTGTGGACCCAATACCGAAGCGCTTTTTTACCTCACTTGCTGGGAACACACCACGAAGGGAGCGTATTTCTTGGATCTGGTCCGATGACAAATCTGTTCTTGGTGGCATGGTTTTGTTTTTTTTCCTGGATATGTATATCCCATATGTCTGTATGGAAATCCCATCCTCTCCCAGGAAATCCCAAGTCTCTCCCATTTTTCCTGAGAAACCCCAATCCTCTCCCAGGAAATCCCAATCCTCTCCCAATTTTCCTGAGAAATCCCAATCCTATTCCATTTTCACCCCAGGAAAACTAGCCAAACTCCAAGCCAATCCTAGCAAACGCCAAGCAAACTTAGCAAACTGCTTAGCAATGCTTGGCAAAACTTAGGAAACGCCAAGCAGAGCGATAGCCTGGCTCTTTTTTTTCTGACCTACTTTCTGTATAATGCTGTGTGTGTCAGCTCAGTGGTGAAACATTCCTGTGGCTGAGAATGGAATGTGTGTGTGGGTGATTAAACATTCATTTAATGATTTGACTTCACATATGGTATACAACATGTGGCCCTTGGCAACTTATTATTGCAAATGGATATTGCTCGGAAAGCCCACAACCTGCGGTAAACGCTGCATGGCTGAATATTGTCACATGCATGCCAACTGTGCGAGAAAGGGTCATGTCAATTACGCGTGCAAAGTATGTGGTATAGGGGTCAAATGTCATTATGGGTTGTGCAAAGCCCACGGAGCGGACGTAGTTCGAAACCAACTTATTTACGACAAGAAGAAAGATTATCTCAACGAACATTACCGACTACTCAGAATTAAAATTTATAAAAAGATTTTATGTGCGCTTCATTTCGAAACGCATCAAAGAGAAGGCTGACAGAGTTATCTGCGAATTGAAAACAACCTATTAGACATTTGACTTCACATAAGGTATACAACATGGCTACTGTCAGCAAACTCAAAGCGTTGGCTAAGGAACGTGGATTGGTTGGTTATTCTCACATGAGGAAAGCCGAACTGTTGACCTTGCTCGACATGAAATATGACAAGCATCCTACTGTACGAGAACTCAAAGTTCAAGCTAAAGAAGGTGGGTTGAAGGGTTATTCTCGCATGAGGAAAGCCGAACTGCTCACCTTGCTGGAAGACACCCAGCCGGTCGAATTGCGATTCGTGCTGACAGACCACGCCGTGGGTAAGTATTTGCGAGGCTGGCGGATGACCGTCCAGTCTAACACCGACTCGATCCCTTCGACCATCGATACCTCGTTACAAAAAATACAAGAATCATTGGAACGATGGAATCACAGGGGATCCTGTGGGTGGTGGGAAGTATCGACACCATCTATTTGGATATAGCAAACTACGTACCATTCAAAGGCGGAACGTACCTAGACTTGCCACCATACTACAAGAAAAAACAAGACATGGTCAACGTCAAAAACAAAGGCAACGATTATATGAGGGTTTTGATCAGATCAGCTTTGTTTCCGGTCAACGCACATTCGAACAGACTTTCGAGCTATCCCGAAGATGACGGGCTTAACTGGGACGGCATAGACAAACCCCACCCCCATCTCCCAGATCGCTAAAATCGAAAAACAGAATGACCACATCGCCATCAATGTCTTCGGACACGAAGGGAACAAAACATTCGTTCACAGGATCAACCCCCTCCCGAATGACGGATGACGCAAGACGATCAATTTATTCATGATTCAGCAAGGCGATCAGTATCACTACGCGTCAATAAAAAGTTTCAGCAGACTGTTGATCGTTAGGATGAGAAAGCCACAATAACTAGGTGCGCCTAGTGGCTGCAAGAGTTGTATACTCCCAAGGGAGTTGAGATTGATAATGCGATGTGCCGTTGAGATTGACATCCAATGATCGAGGGAAAAAATACCAGCGCCTTGAGCATGCACTAGTGCGTGGATATGTGCGCTATATAAATATCCTATAATATAATAATAATAATAAATGTTGTACGATCAATTGAAACATGCCAGAAAGAAACATTTCTGCGAACGGTGTCTGCACGGCTTCCCACGAGCCGACCTGCTGGAATCGCATAAGGAGGATTGCCGAAGCATGGGAGAGACGGCGATCAGAATCGACATGCCTCAAGAAAATAAAAACCTCTTAAAATTCATCAATCACAAACATCAAATGTCCGTGCCTTACGTCATCTATGCCGACTTTAAAGCCCTCATCAAACAGGTCGATCACATCACACCCGACACGACTGAACACAGTTTCACGTACAAAATGCAGGAACACGAAGCTTGTTGGTTCGGATACGTGGTCGTCCGATGCAACGGACAAACGGATGCACCCGTGATCTACCGAGGTTCCGACGCAGCTGAAACGTCTTACAACGCGAAGAGAGAAAAATCAGGGAAGCTTTGTCAGACCCTGCCTCCATGGATATGACACCGGAGGATGAGTTCGCTCATCAACGAGCTAGATATTGCCACGTATGCGGGGGACCCCTGAATGGGGATGCCGTGAGAGATCATTGTCACATCACCGGTCAATACCGAGGTGCCGCTCACAATGCGTGTAACCTAAAACTCAAAATCGAAAACTCAAAAGCCATCCCCATCCCCGTGGTGTTTCACAATTTGAGAGGTTACGATGCCCACCTGATCATGCAGGCCATCTCGGAGATTGAGGGCAAGTTAACGTGCATCCCCAACAACATGGAAAAATACATTTTCTTCTCGCTCAACGGTCTGAGATTTATCGATAGCTCTCAATTTCTCCTGTCATCGCTCGACAGTTTGGTCAAGGCCAACGATACCTTCGTCATCACCCATCAATACACCAACGCAGCGACTCGACATCTGCTGTTAAAAAAGGGTGTGTACCCGTACGAGTACATGGAGGATTGGTCTAAGTTTGAGGAGACGCGATTACCACCCATCGACCGCTTTTACAGCAACTTAACCGACTCGACCATCTCCCAGGACAATGACGATCCCGCTCAGTACGTGTGGGAGACGCTAAAGCCAACAACCCATACATGGAAGGCTACGACTTGAGTAAACCCTCCAACCACATCCTCTATCTCGATGCCAACAATTTGTACGGCTGGGCTATGAGTCAGTATCTAGCCTCAGGGGGGTTCGAGTGGGTTAACGGAGAAAATTTTAATGCGAAAAACATTATGGCCATCCCCGGAAACTTAGAGATAGGATACCTGTTCGAAGTGGATTTGGACTATCCCGCGGAACTCCACGCTGCCCACAACAGTTATCCGCTAGCCCCCGAACGGTTGATGGTTGATCAAAAATGGATGTCGGATTATCATCGACACTTGCTGGGAGATAACACACTCGTTAAGGTGGAAAACCTTGTACCGAACTTGATGAACAAGACAAAATATGTCGTGCACTATCGGAATCTACAACTATGTACTTATCGCTGGGCATGAAGCTGACAAAAACACATCGGGTGCTCAAATTTAATCAAAGTGTGCTGGGTCACCCATCGTGGAATACTTCGGGTTAAGACCTAAAATGTATTCGATCAAGAAAGCCGACAACGACGAAATAAAAAAAGCCAAAGGGGTCAAGAAATACGTGGTGAAACAGCATATCAAGCACACCCTCTTCAAACAGGCTCTCTTCGATAAACGCACGTTCAAACACCAATTGAATGCGAGAAGTGATAAACACAAAATCTATGGTATCACTCTCAATAAAACGTCACTGTCTCCCATGGACACGAAACGATGGATCGCCATCGATGGCGTCATGACTTACGAGTCTAGTCTCGACGAATTGGGATTTTCTGACCCCCCTATAAAGAAACTCCACTTGGCAGTTGAGGTCTAGCAAAAAAAAAAAAAAAAAAACCCAAAGGAGTCAAGAAATACATTGTGCTATACAGGTTTTCTTATAACTTACACAGGCGGGAGAGACGAGTTCTATATTTAGCCTAGGGATTCCCTCGTGTATTGCACCACACCTTATAATTACTTCGGCTCGATCTTACTATCATCCCCTGAACCTCCTGAACTGTTTTGTAGAACACTCGTGATATTAGCGCAGGCATAGACATACTTGTAGCCTTACAACATGGGGCTATCTAAACCAGTAGAACGCTTGCAAAAGTTTCCGACGCTAGCCACGGCTCGAACCCTGGCCTTAGTATTGTCAGTCCAACGCTCTTCCACCACACTGTCGAGATGGCTGACAGTCACAGTGCAAATTTAATGGGTCTAGGCTGGCGAGCTAGTCGGGACATCGAATGATGTCTCCCGCTTGAAAATCATCATTTTTACTGAGTGTTGGGAGAGGAATTACACAGCACTAACACTCCTAGGAGGCAGTGGTCCCGTACCACTGGATTGTCTGGTCCAAACTCGATTATTTACAGACCACCACCATATGGCTGGAATATTGCTGATTGTAGTGTAAAACTATACTCACTCACTCACTGTTTCGGTGACATCTGATTTTGAACAATTATACTATTAGGATACAATGACATGTGTCAACCAAGTCAGCGAGCCTGCCCACCCGATCTCAATTACCCCTGGAAATAGTCTATATAAAAGAGATTGCAAAGAACATTTTACTAACATTATCAGTTAGAAGCAGACATGGTTACGGTACATGCCAACACAAACCTTTTCCACAGGAAGTCTGCCTTGATGTCATCCAGAGTATGAGTCACTGTAAACCAGATATTCACAAACATTACGTAAGTTTTCATTGCTAGTATGCATGGCACCTTCACACATAATGATATCCAGAAAACAGATTTGGAAATTTTACCATAAATTGTATATTTATATACTTATCCTATCTCACGGTATGCACCTCTTCTCTTCTTCTACGACGATGTGTGGAAACGTGCTGTAGGCTAAGTTGAATCAAAACTTCCTGGACTCTGACCACCTGACCTCTGCCCCCACTCCGATAGCAGTACCTGTCAATCGTCTCAATAAGCGTGCAGATCGATCAGATGATCACATGACGTTCTGTGCCTGTCATTCTCGTCTTGGAGCGTCCAGTAATCTGTGATGTGGCGCAGGTCGGGTGGACATCCATCGCGTGAGATAGGATAAGTATATAAATATACAATTTATTGTAAAATTTCTAAATTTTTAAGTTATCCTATCTCACGGTATGCATTATCCTGGAGTTGGCTGGTGGGCCGCAGATTACCCTGTGTCAACTCTACAACCGTGAGGTCGCATAACACAAGGAGGCCAGGAGAAAGCACCAACTCCCGATATGCTAACTCTGAACTTGTGATGGGTTTCTTCGATAACCCTTTAGCTTACACAGCACAAAACTCTAGGAGTGGGCGGTCCCGTAATGTGGTTTTCAGCCACAACTTTTGACAAGCAAAAGCCACCCCAACTTTATCAAGACAGCAGTGAATTAAAAGTCGAAGACCTTAATCTGGACAGTCTCTCCTTCTAAACTTGCTGGCAAGAGGGAATAGCCTGCCCTTGTTTAACTTTCAGTACAAACTCTCCGATGATACATAAGAGAGCTGCGACACTTTATCATAAAGAGAGCAAAGAGCACTGGATGGAAGCATGATACAGTGAAGCGATGATAAGAGAGCCGTGCACTGGATGGAAGCCGATCACTGGATGGAGCCGATGATACCTTAATCATAAGAGACAGTCTCCTTGGATGATACACAAGCGATGATGAACTGGATGGAAGCCCAGAGCACTGGATGGAAGCGATGATACACGGTGCACTGCTGGAAGGCGCTGAAACTGATGGAAGCCGAATAGCCACTGGATGGAAGCCGATGATACATAAGAGAGCGGTGCACTGATGCAACTGGATGGAAGCGTTTACATAAGAGAGCAGCTGATACATTGATACATAAGAGAGCGTGCACTGGATGGAAGCGATGATACATAAGAGAGCGGTGCACTGGATGGAAGCGATGATACATAAGAGAGCGGTGCACTGGATGGAAGCGATGATACATAAGAGAGCGGTGCACTGGATGGAAGCGATGATACATGAGAGCCGTGCAGAGAGCACTGGATGGAAGCGATGATACATAAGAGAGCTGCGGTGCATGGAAGCGATGATACATAAGAGAGCGGTGCACTGGATGGAGCGACATGATGATACATACAGAGAGAGCGGTGCACTGGATGGAAGCGATGATACATAAGAGAGCGGTGCACTGGATGGAAGCGATGATACATAAGAGAGCAGTGCACTGGATGGAAGCGATGATACATAAGAGAGCGGTGCACTGGATGGAAGCGATGATACATAAGAGAGCAGCGCACTGGATGGAATCGATGATGGATGGAAGCATACATAAGAGAGCGGCATAAGCACTGGATGGAAGCGTTGATACATAAGAGAGCAGTGCACTGGATGGAAGCGATGATACATAAGAGAGCAGCGCACTGGAGTAAAGCGGTGCTCTGGATGGAAGCGTTGAAACATAAGAAAGCATCGCACTGGATGGAAGTGTTGATACATAAGAAAGCGTCACACTGGAGGAAAGCGGCACTCTGGATGGAAGTGTTGATACATAAGAAAAGCATCGCACTGGATGAAAGCGTTGATACATAAGAGAGCGGCGCACTGGAGTAAAGCAGCACTCTGAATACGAACGGCGCACTAGTAGATAACCAGGAAGTGAATGAAAGCGGCGCATTGGAACAAAGCGTCACACTGGACTGAAAGCAGTGGTGTGTAGAGATGAGCTAATCAAACCCCAAGGTGCACTCTACTGCGCCGAACCAAACTAGTAAACAAGTCGTGATGTCAGTATGCGCATAGAGGTAACCAGTTGATTCGGCGAATGCTGACAGTTCAGCGAACACTGTCGGATAGGGGAATACTGTTGTAGCGGTGATCTGGTATGGTGCGGCGATCAGGATCGATTCTGAGATCTAGGCTGGTTAGACGATCTGGATCGAAGAGGTGATCTGGTTCGGTAGTGTGATCCGGTTCGGTCAAGTGACCTGGTTCGGCAGGGTGATCCGGTTCGGCCGCATTCACAAAAACGCTGAGTCAATCGGGACCGGTGCATTCGTCTAAAACGTCGTACCATACAGTAATGGTGTACTGGATTGAAAGGTGTTCCAATCCAAAAACAATTCACTAAGTTGAATCGTTGTTCCAATCGAAAACGGAACGCTGGGCTGAAGTCTTGATCCAATCGAATACGCCGCACAGGGCTAATGAGTTGGACCGAACAAGAGCGGTGAACTGAAGTGAAACGATGCACTGGTCTCTTCTTCCCTTTGTGAGAGCGATGCATTGGTACAAAGTGATGAATGGACAGCAAGTGCCGCTCTAGTAAGCGGCGCACTGGAACTAGGCGGTGGTTCACAGACAGGTGGTGCAAGGTACGGGAAAGGTGTTGAAAGCGCCGCACTGGATACTGCCGTCATGCCTGACGTCAGGAAGATATGAAAGAGCCACATTGGAAGCAAGCGGCGCAAAGGTTGAAGTGCCGAACTGATCAATGTGGTTGAAAGCGCTGAACTGACTGCACTCGCCGCATGAGAGTGAACGCTTCCACCAAGCGCACTCACCATAGCAGAGGGGGGTGGAGCACTCAACCAAAGCGGCGCACTGGAAAAAACTCACCTGAGGCAAACCAGGAGTCTGTAAATCATCACCAAGGTAGAAGGCCGAGACTGTGCTACAGAGGTTGTTAGCACTACCACTCTCGGAGGAAATAGAACTTGTCTGGAGACGGGACTAGATGTTTTAGGACGAAAGCGACGACAGAGATACTCGCTCAAGTAGGAGTCTGAGGCAACCTCTAAAAAATCTTCATCTGGGGACGGTGATTAGATCGACGAACTGCTCTCATTGAACGGCGTTCTGATTTAGCACAAGTTAGAAGTTGAAGGACTTTCAGCAGTTGTACACCAATCTCTGTCCAATCTCCGTCTAGATGCAACCCGTTGAAAAAATTTCTAACTGAGAGAACAACACACGTCCACTCAGTGTAGAGACAAGAAGGAGAATGACAGGCACAGAACGTCACGTGATCATCTGAGCGATCTGCACGCTTATTGAGATGATTGACAGGTACTGCTATCGGAGTGGGTGCAGAGGTCAGGAAGTTTTGATTCAACTTGGCCTACAGCACGTTTCCACACATGGTCGTAGAAGAAGAGAGGTGCATACCATGAGATAGGATAAGTTTTAAAATTATAATAATTTTGTTCACATGTGTAATCCCAAATATAATATGTGTCACATTTGACCACTTTCTGAAAGGCATTGTGCATTCAAGTAAAATGGGGTTTCATGTTATGTTCAAGATTATTGCCCTTACAGCAACTTGCTGCAGTCTGACATGGATATCCCACTCAGACACATCATAATCACTAAGCTGCATATCTATGCAAAAAAAATTGCACTCTTCAGATTCAACAGATTTTATCCCTTTTACAAGAAAGCCTTACAAGATATCAAAAAATTCAAACTACTGGCTAATTGCAATCGTAATTTAAATTATTTTGTTTTGGGAGGTGGGCTAACCTACTGGTTAAAGCTTTCACTGGTCACGCCGAAGACCCAGGCTCAATTCCCCACATGGGAACAATGTGTGAGGGCCATTTCTGGTGTCCCCCAATATTGCTGGAATATTGCTAAAAGTAGCGTAAAAACAAAAAAACTCACTCACTCAATATTTTATTCTTTGATATTTCTTTTACCTTTTATTTTCCAGAATGGTTCTGGCACAAAAGCTTGGACCTGTTTGTATCTCTCCACCACAAAGCCCAGGGTTGGAAACTGGCAACTGCCGTCTGACAAGCTGTTGACTTAAATGTTCAGGAAACACTTTCTGCAAGCGTAGGGTCTGAAACCTTGTGAATGCGGCACCTGAATGCAGACATAAAGGAATTATACAACAATTTCACAAACTGGAGTACCAGTGGCATGTGACTAGATGGTATAAAGAATATCAGGTAGGACACAGGAAACATATGTGTACCACCAGATATGATCTAACTGGGCTGAAAGTCATGTACTGCTGGGTGTTTTCATCCATCAAGTAAATATGGTTTGACTGCTGTGTGGATTTTAAATAGCTTCTAGAATATCTTGCTGTGTCTGCATGTTAACAGGGTCCTCTAGCCCAAGACTTGCCAAATACAGGAAGGACTTCTGATCAATTCCATATGGACTACAACCCTAACAATTAGGTAGATGGCATCTCTGCAGCAAATGATTTTAGCAAAAGGGATTGATCAAACTGTTCAAAGGAAGCAAAGAATATTCTGCACAGCTAAAAAATATTGTCTATGCCAGACAAAACACCTTACCAGCTCACCACTATGAACAGCTTGTGTTCACACAATTTCCCAACAATTCCAAAAGTTATTTCCATTAAATCAGAGATAATCAAGATAGAGATGTTCTATTTTATGAAGTGCAGCAGTGGGTTGATTTTTTATGGTGCAAAAAAACAACAACCTACAATGGCAAAGATGATGAGTCACCTATAAATAAGAAACTGTTTGCAATCCTTCAGTTCTGTCAGTTGTAAATCAACCATGATGGAGGTTAACATTAACAAATATCTTCCAACATACATTGTTGTATGTGATTGGCACCGTGCTCACAAAACACAAGTTGCAATACCAGAGAATCACATTACCACCTTCACAGATCCATCAGCAAATACCCATGCCCTTGCAAGCTCATTGTAATACTTCTTTCACTGAATACACTACATTCCTCAATTATCAGTGACTACATACAGCTGGGGGTGAAGTCGAACCAAGCTCCGACAAGGTCTCTGTTCAGTCAGTGATCATATAACATCTGTAATATTCCCCATGCAATATGAACCAAACCTTGTGTCTCTACTCTACATTACATTATATCACTCAAAAAGTAGGGATGATTTGATTTGCACAAGTTATCCACATCCTTGTTTCATTATCTGACTAAAACTGATGACATGCTTCACAGTAACACCCTGACGTGACAGTATGTTTAGTTTTGGTTTGGGTTGTTGTTTACCACCGAAATCAGCAGTAATCCCGCTAGTTGGTGGCAGTCTGTAAATAATCAAGTCTGGACCAGACAATCCAGTGATCGATATCATGAGCATCAATCTGCACAACTGAGATGCAATGATGTGTCAACCAAGTCAGCAAGTCTGACCACCTGATCCTGTTGGTCGCCTCTTACAATAAGCATGGGTTGCTGAAGACCAATTTTACCCGGATCTTCTCATGTCTGAATGCATGTATTCATGGTTCAAGTAACCCCATGAGGTAGTGATTAAGTTAACCTGTGTGTTATACATTCCAATATCTAAATGTTGTAAAAAGTGCATTTCAGGACACAATAGCTCACCAATCCTGAGGTCCAGCTCCTGTCTGACGTCAACAGCATCACTCACACGCTTGTCTGGCTCCTGGAGGTTGCTGATTGCTCGATTCACTGCACTGCAACGTATCAACACAATCACACATTACAATATATTCAGACGAACGAGTGAGTTTAGTTTTATCCCAATTTTAGCAAAATTCAAGTATCATGGTGAGGGACACCAGAAAAGGGCTTCACATTTTGCACCCATGTGGGGAATCGAACTCATGTCTTTGGCGTGACAAGTGAACACTTTAACCACCAGACTACCCCACTGCCCCTTCAGAGAATTGCACAAACTCAGTGGTGGTTCATGTTTCAGGAGTAAATGAAATGACTGACTGACTGAGTTTGGTTTTACGCCGCTTTTAGCAATATTCCAGCAACATCACGGCGAGGGACACCAGAAATGGGCTTCACAGAGTAAATGAAATGATCAATTGACACAGTGACACATCCTTTCCATAAGTTATTTTTATGGCTATCGGGATAATTCAAAATCATCTTCAATTACAACCACTAGAAATATGGATTACTTACTGAGGTGTTATTTCTGAAAACCTTGCCCGGTAGATTTCAATATTTGGCTTCACTGTAAAACATACAAAAATATATGCATGGAGACACATAATTTAAACTTTTGGCTAATAAACATTTTTCAATCAAGTTCTGCCAACATTTTCTGTAGATACATAAAACATTATGTTGATCAGTTCGATATGCAACAAGTTTATTGCCAACCCAAATATTTTATGAACCCAACCACCACTTACAAAATATTAACTAAAAATTAGCAAAGGTTGCACATACGGTTGTGTTGACAAGCACAAAATCAAGTAAAGACATCTAAAGAAGAGTAAATAAATGAAACAATTTACCGGCATGTATCACAAATATACAAAAAAGACAAAGCATGAGTTGGCTGGGATAAATGCTGCTTTTAACAATAATTCTGTCCAGTTTTTAGTGCCGGCTTAATGTAGGTGGAAATCTAAAAGTTGGACAGGTTGTGGATGTTTACAACAATAGTGAAACCAAAATGAGCGTCATCACAAAGCATCATAATTAGAGTGTGTCGGGTATTTGAACCAATGAGTGACACTAACTGCTAACAATTGACTAAAACTTCATGCCTCAGACAACTCTGTGCTCCCAATAAGTATTTACTAATTTATGACTGCGAATAACATCTGGTGTAAATATCTTAGTGGGAATAGTCAGTGAGTATGGTTTTACGCCGCTTTCAGCAATATTCCAACAATATCACGACGGGGGACACCTGAAATGGGTCTCACACATTGTACCCATGTGGGCAATCGAAACCGGGTCTGGGGCGTGACGAGCGAATGTTTAACCCCACTGCACTGATAGTGCGAAAAAAATTACCTGATTGACAGACCTGGATCACTTCAAAACCAATGTTTTCCCCTTCCCTGTCACAATCAGTCCAAATTACTAGATATCTGCAACCCTTGATTTCTCGCTCCAGGGTACGCTGGAAATGAATACATCAACTAAAACATGATGATGATGATGATGTGCTAGGTTAGAGTAGTTTGGGGAGTATGGTGATTATAGTGGAGCACTATCTGTGCTAGGACAAATGTATATAGTCGGTTGGCCTCAATTCATGCTTGACATGGCTTAAGGCTCAAATGAAATAATACTGGGAAGACTTAGTGTGATGTTCCAAAACAATGATTAAAAATATATGTGGACTTATCCTCATGAGAAGCATGCTGCTTTGCAAGTCAAAGTGATATGTCACTTTTAAATATTTCACACATTGGAATTTCCTTGCTACTGAATAATTTTTAAATCATTCAAACACAAACAAAAACGATTTCTCTTGAAATAATATTCCATCTCATTTTCTTAAGTTTTAGCAGACATATTAGAAATAAAATCGAATGTCATTCTATTCATGACCATCAATCAATAAATGTTAACTTGTGTGCAGCTCACCTTGATGTCAACATAATTGTCTGGACAAGACTTAAACACTGGAAGGTCAAACAGAGACGTAGGACTACAGGAGTTCCTGAAACATTTACATGATCTTCATAATCAAAACAGGGTTCATTACTGTACATAAGGTAAAAGATTTTAATTTTTTTGTGAATCTTATTTAGGTTCATCTTGTGATTACTATACCATATTAACAGAAAAATCAATGACTCTAGTGTCTGGTCAGTTAGGTAGTTAACACGTTCAAAATCTGAACACATCATGATCAGCAACTAGGAAACAGTGTGGATATTACAAACCTCAAATAATACATTCTCAGTCAACTAAGTAAGATACATGTACACAGAGACTATATACCAATAATCAGTGTAATGAGTGGAAGCGATACACCATGAACCCCTGCGAAGTTTTCCCCGGCTGTGGTCCAGATGCATTGCACATGCACAGATGCCCTTAGCATCGGTATATGGTCCCTGATGTACAGTCAAACCCTGTTTACTCGGACCCTGTATATCCGGAAACCCCGCCTTCCGGACGATTTTTAGGTGAAACGAAACTTGCCTTCAGTAATTGTACTCACTTAGCCGGACCCCGCTCTTCCGGACCGGACGGAGAAGTTTCAAACCATTCCCATAGATTTCCATTGAAAAGTAATCCAGTTATCCAGACAGAAAGATCTGTGCACATGGGCATGTGTATGTTTTGTATTGTTTACCGCGCGCGACTAAGTGTATTCATTGTTAATCTCTGGGCAGGCGTTCGATGTGAATTAAGTAAGTACCCATCAAAACACTAGGGAAGCGTGTCACTTCAGTGGTGGCAGGTCTGAGAACATCTCATCAGTAATGAAAACACATGTTAATTAGGATTAGGATTAAGCTGAGTTGCGGAATTTGATGCAGCAGTTACCACGAAGTGACAGCGATGAAGAAATCATCAACACACTGAAGCCACCGACAGACGACCAGTCAAATGACGATGAACAACAATTAGCAGTTGTTACGTCTGTTGACCTTCTACGAATGTAATGGCGACAAAGGTTCAGTGAATTTATTGATGGACTTGGTGAAGAGACTTGAAGAAATAAACCAAGGAAGCAGACATCTATCACAGACATTTTAAGGAAATAATGTGCTACATGTGATATGTGATATCGAGTCAAGTAAGATGTACAATGTAAAATGTATAACGTGAATCAACGTGCTGAAAGAAAGTTTTTTTGGTATCTATTTATATGTTATGATTATATGTTTTGACTTTTGACTTATTGATATACACACATGAATAAATTTTCAATATACATTGTCGATACGTTTTGCTTGTTTGATCCAGTTAACCGGACGCCTCGCTATCTGGACGATTTCCGAGTGTAACCAAAATGTCCGGATAAACAGGGTTCGACTGTACATTATAAGAACAATCACCTCATAAAACTACTTAAGACTTCAAGCTGAAGTCAAGTGAAATTTTCTTTTTGACAACCACTTTTACCATTTGGTAGAAGGCAACTCCATTGCAGACTAGTTTGTGGACTGGCGTAAATGGACATAATTTCTACGCTGCAGCTGTAATAGCACTCACCACTTCCTGTATTGGGTTCCAAAGTCCATCCCCAGCAGATGTCCAGACACTGAAGTCATTGACATGGTGCACTGTTGATTTAGTATACGATAATCAAACTCGTAAATCTTATTGAATCTGGATAACCCTTCCCTCTGAAAGAGAATTTACTATGGATTACAGGGAGAAAATATGACAGAAACAGTCTATGACCCAGGCTAGAACACCATTTAAAAAAACATTAAATGCTTTAATAATCTACACACAACACAGTTAAACACTTTTTCATATGATACAATAATCCCTTCTGTCGGTTTTTAAAAGAAATTCTAAGTATCCCTGAGGTTACGACAAAATCTAGGATACATTATCATGATTATTCTGATTTATGTCAAAGCTTGGCTCATTAAATAATAACAGGCACTTGTCACAATTAAAAATTTTCTTAGATTTCAAATCAATAATAGCTCTAATAATTTCAGATGTCCCCTGGTAAAATATAGGTGTCAGCCCGATCTGTCGACAAATGAAAAATAGGATGTTGCTAACCGTCGACAAAACTCAAAACCCGGAGTGTCGACATCGCGTGGTCAACATACCGTGACGGTGTTAATTAATGAAAGAGAATGTTTGCCTAGTGGTTTGCAAGTGGCTATGGCGGCTACAGCTATGCTCGTATCATGAGTAAATGAATTAAGTTGATTAAAGAGAATGTCTTTTTAACAATTTGCAAGAGAATTAAGGTTGCAAAAACAGACTACTATTTTACGCTATGCGAGTGGAAGGATTACCATTTTGGAGTTTAACATGCAACAACATCCGGAAAGAAACAGAGAGCTTACAAATTATTTTGTGATATTGGGAGTAGAAGGATTATCGAAATGCTGTTGTAAACATTTAGCATTTGGGTATATATAATAGATCATGAATATTTTGTTACCACTGTCAAAATGGCACATGCTATGGTGCGGGTTACATTGATTGACAACATTCATAGAGGTCAGAATCTTTACCACAATGGATTCAAGTACAGAGTCAACAGACGCAGAAAACATACTGGTGATGTACAGATGCAACAGAAGGTCCATGGACACTGCCAACTTGGAATCATTTTGAAAATGATGGATACAGAACTAACAATAATTTGGAAGGTTGGCACAACAAAATCAACAAGTATGCCATGAAGACACATCCGAATGTATTTGAGGTTGTGCGAATGCTACAAAAAGAACAGTCATCTACTGAAGTAAAAATTCAGCAGATCCAAGGACAGCAGAGAGATCCCGTCCGTAGACGTCGCTACCGAATCATCGACGCTAGGATTCGATCCTTGAAGGCCGACCTTCTTGCCGACAGACTTACTGATTTGCATTACACAGACCATGTGTCAGAGTTGCTTCATCTTGGCTGAACATTCAGATTACTTTAGTGCACATATAAAGGAGTTTTGGCAAGAAGAAATAACTGGACTCATCTTCTATATATATTTATTACTTATACACCTGCAGAAATCACTTATTTATATAAAACACACACACAAATATATTGTGTGAGCTTTATGAAATATATATATACAAATATGTTATATTGTGTGACATATAATACATGCATGTTTTTATATTGACTGAATAACTATATTGTCTACTATATATATCACACTCTGTTTTAATTGGTTTGTTAATTTCGAGAACACTGGGAGTGAAGTCATTCATGTAGAACATCACCTCCCTTTTCCCGGACTGTCGACAAGTAATTTGGACGGATTATTTCTTGTTGTCGACAGTCCGGGCATAAACCAAAATATCTCACCTTTCTGTATCCTCCCCTTGACATAACATCAGCCAAGGACTTGGCAGCATCATTTTTCTCTGCGACATTCAGGACACGAACCATTTCAGACACATTACTCCGAAATCTAACAAAGGTTTTAAACATCACATATGAAGTTCAAACACGTTTAATTTTGAAAATATGGTTGTTACTCTTCAAAATAACCATATTTTGCATTGCATAAAATTCCCGAAGTTCAATTTGCCGCCATTTTGATTAGTTCAAGGTCATATACTGTTTCCGGTGGTTTGCACTAAAAGTTTGATCACGATTTCACGATAAAACATGACTCAAACTCCTAGAAACCTATATCTAAAACAAGAAAACAGAGCATAAAAGTAACTGATTGTTAGCAAAATTTCAACAAGTAGACATTACAGTAAATTGACTCTAATGGCAATTATTTTTCAATTGCTGTCCGAATCATAGTTCAATTTGATATTTTGATCGAAATCGTGAAATCTCGCACTTGTTTACTTCCGGTGGAAGCTCTTGCATAAAAGCTACATATGAGGTTATTTTATGACAACTGCCATATCTTTATACGACGGTCGCTGTTGCTCTGTCACGCAAATGGTTAGATAACCGTACTGCGGAAGTGGATGTTCGACGGTATGTATATGAGATATTTGTGGCGCTTGCAGGTAATTTTTGTTTGAAGATCAATTGCCTCTCTTCTGTAACCTTCTGCCGGTCTGCTGGGGCTGGCAATCATAGAGAGTGATGCTTGAACTAAACATCGGTCGATTACAGATAAATATCGGAGAATTAACGGGAGTACTGCACTTTACCGGGCGCACTTTTTCAGATTAATTAGCGCTGCTGGGGTTCCCTAACCCTAAACCCTAACCCTAAGAATTAACTTTTAACTTTCAAGTCTGGAAGAAATCAACATATTTCATCACCAGTGAGTGGTAACAAATGATTACTAACATTACAGCGTCCTGAACATGATTTACAAACAGCCCATTAAGACAGACCTAACTGTGTGTATTGTGTGAGTAAATTAAAAATGTATTTAATCAGAATTTAAATTTTTTGGGGGTAAATGTTATAAAAATGATATTTCATATCAATAGTCATTAAGGATTTTCCCAATTCACAATATTTCCAATTATCAATAATTTTAGCAGGCCCAACCTTCTGCGTCACCTCATAATTGAATGTTTGTTGCCATGTTTTTATGGTGTTAGAAGTAGTAATATTGTTCAAAACAAGTTGAATGGTGTGCGGTTGATATTGCAACAGAGGATTTTAATGAGCAGGATTATTTAGCTGTATGTTAAATTTGATGTCTGTCTTGATGTTTCAGGATAAGAGGCATTTGCTGAGACCATGATAAGACTGATGTTCCCTCGGCAGAATCTCGCTCTTGCCCAATTATGTAAAACACAACCAGCTTGTGCAAGGTAAAGATTAAATGTCAATTTCACAGAATAATCAGTCTTAATATCAACAGAACTGAATCGTTTTGGAGTCAAATTAGCGCTGAAATTTATATGAATGGATCACTGAAAATATTTGATGACACCTGGTCTGTGGGAAAAAGGGTAAGCATTTAATTCTCCTTTGGTAGTAGCGAGTGAGCAAGTTTACGCCTCTTTTAGCAATATTCCAGCAATATCACAGCAGGGGACACTAAAAATGGGCTTCACACATTGTTTCCATGTGAGGAAGCGAACCTGGGTGTTTGGCGTGAGAAGCGAACACTTTAACCACTAGCCTACCCCACCGCCCCTCCTTTGTTTTGTAAGACATACAGGTCGGCAATTCAAGTGAACATTTATTGTTACAAATAAACGTGTTATGTTCATCAGGAGGAAAGGTCCACTGGGAACATCATTTGATAAGATGAATATGAAAATTCCCTTCTGCAGCACCCAACTGTGGTTATATAATATGCAGTGCTCCAGATAAGGGGCATATCAGTGTATGTATGGCTCAAAAATGTGCAGATACGATTAAATCAAAATTAATATCATATCATGTACTGGAGTATATAGGCCTATACACCACTAAGTCAAATTTTGACAGTAATTCCCCTCAGTCAGTCATTATGTATGTAAACATCATAAACTTTGCCGTGGTTGAAGTAATTCTCCCCTTGTAATGCATTATGGATCAACTAAATAAAAGGGGAATCCTTGTGGAAAAGCATTCAGCAGATAATGGCTTCATTCCATTTTGATTGGCCATAAACATAACCACTTAGGATGTTGCATCTTTTCGTGTGTGTTCTCTCGTAGTGAAATTTATGCATACGTAGGAATCTATCACCAACATTTTTTTAAAGTAAAGTTGAGGGGCTGCTAATGTCATATTTGCTGTCTCCAGTAAATTCAATCTATGATTAACATGTGCTAACTACATGTGATAGTTATTCATGAAATTGAAATATATTCACAATTGACATGTTATGAAAAGAACTTCATGTGTGTTATCTGTGAAGAGTGGCTCATGACTCCTCGATAATTGAGTTGTCTAACAGTATCATGACCACAGAAAAACAAAGTCGCAGTTTGCAGTGCATGTGACAAACCTGTACGGTATATGCTGTCTTTGTATTTGTGACCCATCACCATTAGTTCAGGGTTCATCAGAAACAAAAGGAGCCATGACATAACTAAAAAGCCTCAAACATGAGAGTTTTGTTTCAAGATTCATGATTGCCCATGATAGGTCAGATGTCTATCATAGTAACATTGACTGTCTATTCATTGATATTGGGATTCAAAAGGTTCAGTTGTAATTACCAAAGGATGTTGGTTGAACATTAGTCAACAGGAAAGCAGTTTTCACAAGGTGTATGGCTTGTTTCAACTCCCACTACAGACTATGCATTGAAAAATATTTTGGTCATTTAATATTTGAAATCTCAATAAAAAAACATTTGGAATGTCAGACATTGCATAGGTGAATTCCCCTGCAGTCGTGCTAACTCTGTTCAAATGTTTATCAAGCAACGATATATGATGATTTTGATGGAAGTAGTCATGTAGCCTGTAAATGTCATTGCGACTCTTACTTCCGTGATCTGTAAGCAATGCTTTCATTGGTCGCATAAATAATTGTTATAACACTAATGGGATGTCCTCAGATCTGTGGCAACTGTTAATGAGAATCAATATCTGATGAATCTTCAGTCATATGAAGATAGATCTCATCCATATAGGATCTAAAATTTTGCAGTATATATTTCTGCATCGTGTGAAAACCTGGTGTATGGTTGTAGTAAAATGCAGTAGTGTCATGCTTTGGTTCAAATGGGATGCAAGGTTACCGTAGGACCTCTGCAGCATGGTCGCAAATGGACCACCTGGTGGCCAGATTCTTTCATGACTTGGTTGTGTGATACCCTGACAACATAGGATGCGGCTCATCTGATCTCAATCACGGTGTTGTCTGGTCCAAAATAGTCATCATGAACCATCAATCTGCATCAAACTATTTTACTCCGGTACAGTACCATCAATCCGATGAGACCCCCATAGCTTGTCATGTTCGTGAACCTTAGGTGAACTTTGACCTCCCATTATGAAGAATGTTGCATAATGACAGATGTCAGCTACCTGCACACTTCTTTACTCTCGGAACAGAAACCCACCACAGGACACAATTAAAGCTTCCATGATTAATGCCCAGTTTTATCTACAGTAAGCTTGTCCAATATTTGAAGCCTTGCAACTGACTTGAATGATTACAATGGTCATCTGATGACTTCAGAGATGAAAATTGCATAGTGAATTACATGTGTATTTCAGTATGCAAAGGCTGCATTACCTAACGTATTTACACATGTATTGCATGTTAGTTCACTCAAGATTCCTAAAATTCTGCACAATGTATGTACATTTGTTACTGATTATACATGGGTATATATGTTGTTGTCATTGCTCTGTTGGTTTCAATATAATATGTTATATAACTGTGTAATTACCTTGTTTCTTTTCTACACAAGCAGCAAAATATAGTTTATGAATTTTCTAAGTGTATATTAGTGTTAATTTGTTCTTAAAACTGATATGTTACAACTGACCTGCCACATTGATGATTAAACAGTCATATGACTAGTCTTTTCTGATCTATGTTGTGTTTCCAGGGCTGTACATGCAACATGTGCTTGGAGGGCTGCAAAGGCACGAAAGATAGATGGCAACGAAGCAATACCATTTACCAGCAGCAAGGCAGCATCATGGAAAACTCAGGACAGTTTTGGTCCTCCGCCCAGAGATATGCCCTGGTACCAGCCAATCAGCATCAGTTTAAGCCTGGCAGTCTTCCTTACATATTTTATGTTCATCAGGGAAGAAAATGATGTTGATCTAGAACTTAACAAGTCTTTGTTTCAAAGAGTGCCAGGGCTAGAGGAACATCAAGTTAAGATGGCCATTAAACATGGTCAGGAGAGAGGATTGGATACAAAAGACCTTGAATTGAGATTGACAGAAATTCTTCACCAAAAACAGATGTCGAAGAATTCTTGAGTGATGTGACATTATATTTTTTTTTCAAATGTGAATATTGAGGAAGGAATAAATCTGACGATTCACAACTCGGGTTTTTATCTTTGTGAGTCCTAGGCCAAATCTAGTAAATTCCCTATGATATCCCTATAAAATCCCTAGCAGCAGTACTAGTAATTAGTTACACCTTACAATTACACCCTCCAAAATTTCTCTTTGATATGGAACTAACGTGGTGGGCGAGCTGTCTAAGGCGCCAGGCTAGTGATCTAATGAGCTTAGAGGTGTCGGATTGAGCCCAACTGTGACTGGGTGTAAAAACCTTGGAGAAATTGTTACCAGACCATCGGGCTGGCTAGGTGTAATTCTAGACCGTCTGTCTGAAATCTCACCTGTCCTGGGCGGTCGGACAGGCCTAATTTCATTACACTGGAGTTAACTTTGTGTGCAGGCTCTTTCAGTGTTGTCACAACCCGAAGTGTACAGTAGACAACCCTGTGCACTTAATAGAACACAGCCTCCGTGGTGTAGTGGTTAGAGCGTCTGCCTGGAGAGAGGAAGGTTGTGGGTTCGATCCCTGACTGCGTCATACCAAAAGACGTTAAAATATGGTACTTGTTGGTCCCTGTCTGGCTCTTGGCATTAAATAAGTACAAGGCCTGGTCGGCTTGGAGTCGGTATAATGTGTCTGAGTGGGGTACTCATGTTTCTCTGCGGCATGGTATCTCAGTGGGCTAGCACTATAAAACCAGCTTCAGTCTGGGCTAGTACAAGCAGTCGCACATACACACGCATGCACATCGTCATACGAGAGAAATATTCTCAAGCATGACGTTAAACCCAATTTCACCTCACCTCACTTAAAAGAACCCACAAATCTGTTGGACAAAGTACTGTGACTGTGTCCTAGTCTACCCAGCTGTGCATGGGTGCCTTGTAGGGATGGGAAAACCACATTGACTTGGTGGCTGCAAGAGTTGAGGGAGTTGAGATTGAATGTATGATGTGCCGCTGACATTTGACATCCAGTGCTCAAGGGTAAAAACAGTGCTTTGAGCATGCATGTTGATGGGATGCATTTTCAGCGCGCTTTATAAATACCCATATATAATGGCTACAAAATGTATCTGGTCACTAAAACAATACATAGTGAGTGAGTGAATGTAGTTTTACAATGCTTTTAGCAATTTTCCAGCCAGGGGACACCAGAAATGGGCTTCACGCATTTAACCCATGTGGGGAATCGAACCCAGGATTTTTGGCTTGACAAGCGAACGCTAGGCTACCCAAAACCCTACTGAAAACATGTTCATAGAACTGCACGAGTATTAACCACATGGTCAAATGGACGGTGACAAGCACTGGTGTTCATTGTTCAACATGTCAAGATATGCTGTATGGGTGATAAGACCGGGTATACTTGTATTATATTACCTGATTTTGATGCCATCACATTTGGCCAGAAGTATGTTAGGAAGAGTCAAGCTGAAGAATTGGCTTTATCTTCAAACCAAATGATGTTCCTCTTTAAATACAATACACAGAAGCCCAGTCTATTTGCATAAAACGTCTGCAAGATCATACAGAAAAAAATGTACTTAAGGTTTGTTTTGATTTTTTAGGCAAAATAGTGACCAGTAAAGATTTGACTTTGGCCAGATGTGCAAGCATTTCAAATCCTCGTGTATCAATAAATCCATGCACCTTGAGTAGAACATTGTACTTATATTTGTCAGGGGTTATTTAGGCTTCAGTTTGGCATTATTTCTGTAGCACCAGAGGATTTTTTCCAGGACATCAGAATTTATTTGTATAAATTTTTTTTATAGTACTCATTATGTTGTCATTTGGAGTTTTAGTGTTATGAACATATTCTGTTAGAATGAAAGTCGACTTTTGTCTACTGTTAGTCATACAAACACGAGCAGCTGTGTGAGAACAAACCACAGAAGTGAGAGAGTTTGGTTTTATGCCACTTTCAGCAATATTCCAGCAATATCATGGCAGGGGACACCAGGAGTGGGCTTCACCAAAATCTAGAAAGAAAACAAATAATCTCCTGTGCATTCTCTATCTGCCCCAACCGGATATTCACAAGGACATCATCAAGCAATTGCCTTCGGCATCCAGACCAACCATGAACCTTTCCATGCAGACAACACCATCCAAGTTAAGTTAGGAATGTGAGGTGCTTACAGTCTTGAACATCTTTTTTGGCGATGTTAGTGACACGCAAGCTGGTGGGGTTTTTTTGGGTAAAATTGTCCCAAAGCACCATAGGGGAGATTTCAGTATGCCAGGTTATATTTTTCCAGTTGCCTGTTCACCATGACATCCTAAAGAACAAAACAGGACAAAAAAACCATTTAGAAACTCGACAGTCAATCCTTTATAAATTTCAAGAAAAACTGTTAGTTTTGCATCTTTTATATCATCTTAGTTTACATACATCCAAAAATCAACTATTTTGCACCTTGATCACAGTACAACACTTGTCAGCGATTGTGTACAATTCCCCCCCATCCATTTGTTCCACTGTTCTTGTAAGTCAACAGTCAACAGAACACACATATTGGTGACCAAGTTTTAATTTTCATCATCCACTACAAAAAATGTTTTTGAAATCGAATGATTTAAGATATGGATGAGAAATGACATGCTGCGCTTTTAATCTTCCTGATAGTTTTGTTTACACTTAACACCAATAAAAGACAGTCCATCAAACAAACACTAAAAGAACTTTAGTCTACATTTATTATGAGACGATACACATAAAACAATGATAATGATAAAAGGCTAGCCTATATTACATAGCAGAGAAGAAAATGATAGCGACAAGAAGATGGACCAGACGAAAAGAATACTTCAGAAAATAAGTTACGGTTATTATATAAATCACTTGATCTACCTCTTGAGAATCTTTAGATGACAATATAAAAATTCACTCCAACCATATTATGAAATTTGTAAAACTGGTTCAAAAAATGATCCTGATGTGCTGGGATGATGGCTTCATGAATGTAAAAGTCTGTCTTGAAGCTTTTGAGTCACTTATGCACGTTCACCACGAATTCTCCTGGCGAGTTGAATGTCTTTGGGCATGATGGTCACTCTCTTTGCATGAATAGCGCACAAGTTAGTGTCCTCAAAGAGTCCGACCAAGTAGGCCTCGCTTGCCTCCTGCAAAATGAAACATTTCAGTCAACAACTTGGATGTGGAAATTCATAAATTTGATTTCTCAAACGCAAAATTGGCAAGATTATCGTCCGACTTCAACCCTAAATTCTAATGGAAACTATTTGAGGGGCACTTTTAGAAGGTGGATATGTCTTTCAGCATGTTCAGATACAATTAAAGAAACATGTCAAGGCCAATCCGTATACAATGAGGAATACATATTCAGGTGATATCATTTGACAAGAATGAATTTAATGGGGTGATACAGGCAGAAGTCTCTCCACAAAATTAATGTATGATCAATATACAACTACAAATTATCAGGGTTAGAGTTCCTTACGTACCCCCATCTAATGTTTTCAATAAATTCAAAGATACCTTATAAAATAGGCCATATAAGATATTATCGCTTGTCCGGTGAGTTTATTTTATTTGAGTAAAATCTTCATTACAAACCTGCAATGCACCAATAGCTGCACTCTGGAAACGCAGATCTGTCTTGAAATCCTGGGCGATTTCTCTGACCAATCTCTGGAATGGGAGTTTTCTGATCAGCAATTCAGTTGATTTCTGGTAACGACGGATTTCTCTGAGGGCAACAGTTCCTGGCCTGTATCTGTGGGGTTTCTTCACACCACCAGTGGACGGGGCACTCTTTCTGGCTGCCTTAGTAGCGAGCTGCTTACGGGGAGCCTTGCCACCAGTTGACTTACGCGCTGTCTGCTTGGTACGTGCCATTGTTCAACTGAAAATGTAAAAACATAAATGACAAACCACAAAAATCACATTGGGCTGTACTAATGAATGAGAATTTAGATCCCAAAACGGTAAAACATTTCTGTGAATTCCCTGATAATTAAAATCTGCATGCAACTGGAACCTATTTTTTTTCTGGGACGTGCTTATCAAACTACTCACATGGATATACAAAAATCAATGCAGTGACTACCATGTGGGAAACAAATGTAGGCAAAGGCAATGTTGCCATGTTGACTTTTGTAAATAATCAAGTGGTAAATACATTCATAATCCGTCATATCCAAAGATGAAAATAATAATACCAACATCAATACATTAGACAAGTTAACACTGGTGAGGCTTTGCAAGCTGAAGCAATGTCCAAAGATACTGTAAAAATAAGAGCTTGTCATACTGAAATGACAACAGTAAAATGGCGGGAACATCTGCAGAAGGCAGATTTAGTACATTCTTAACAGAAAATCAATATGATGGCTGAATTAAATCAAGTAACGGAACATTCGTACTTTTTACAGGTCGTACATTTGACTTGGCAAGCCTTAACCAGCGTGTTAGTCTATTTATAGCAACTGTTCAGTTTATCAACAAAGATCAACTACCTTCGATTAATAAGACAATGGTGTTATTAAAAACAATCATAATTTGTTCTTGAGAATATAAAGACATGTTAACGGCACAGGGACCCATAATTAACACGTTGTCACCTCTTCATTCGTGAAAAAATACTGTCAGCCTGTCAAAGTATACAAAGTGTGCCACTAGAACATGGCGCCTACACAGAAACTTCCCTCTAACATAAACGGTTAACGTTAGCTGATTTTACTCGGCAGTTTGGGAATATTTTTTTATTTCTTTCACTTCATCTACACTACAGAAGTCTTAGAAGGGATATGGTACATTGTACCCACTTACCGACGGAGAAAACTGCTTCCTTTCCTTGTTGAGGTAGAAATTTTACAATTTGCCGCACAAATCGCAACGAACGATGGTTATGAATACATTACCTGCCTTCGTCATGGGCCGTACCCATTGGTTCGTGTCTCTACAAAGAGAGAGGTTTCCATTGGACGGTGAAACCGACATTTCATTGGCTAGTGCAACATAAGCCTCCAATGTCCATTGGATGAAAAGACTCAACTCCCATTGGTCAGATTTCGATCCGGTTTTGATCGTCCCTGAAGTTGTGATGTTTTAACATAGCAAAAGTTGTTTTATTTCTAATTTATTAACTTCTCTTGGTCTGTTTTCAAGCTGTTTGGGGTGGATTGATTTCATAACTACCAATTTACTTTAAAATAAATGAAACGATACCTCGATTTCAGAAATAATTCAACACAGAGCTTGGAAAACAGTCGCTGCATTCTGCACGGTTAACTGCATGTGGATCGCGCTGATTATCGGGTGTCCTGTAGACATTGTTACGAAGCTATACTATGTGCTAAATAGTAGTATCGTTTATCGTTCAAAATATTTTCCAAAATTATTTTTTGATTAGAATATTTTTTTACTTTAAACATCGTGAATAATATATTGGAACAAAGAAGCACCTGAATTGTTTACGTAATATTTATTGTCAACCGGCATAACCGGTTTTACTGATAGCACTGGGAGCGACTTGACTAACGCTTAGCCTCGGAGTACATCATATGCAATTTACATAAAAACAAATTATCCCCCCCCCTTCATTTTATATTGAAAAGGTGACCCAGTGTGTGTGGAGATTCAAAACCCGGGGAAATCTAGACTTGCCTCATTTTTGGCTTCAGCATTGCAGAAAGGGAAAATAATGCGGTTCAGGGACTGTGATAAAGACTGGGAGCGATCAAGACATTTTGAAACTGGAATAGTGGGGTGGAGTGGTAAGGTAGAGAGGCGAGTTGGATGTGTGGATGAAAATCTTTATGAAATTAACCATTTTCCAGTTTTAACGCGATGATGATTTGGATATTAACGTGCACTTTCCGACATAATGTGTGTTTCGCACATATGGGCCCACCATGCAGACTATTTAGTGTTCGATCGAATGAGGGTTGCTTTGACCGAAGGATATGGTAACCTGAAGGGGTGGTAGGGTTGAATAAATAAATATGTATGAATTGGGTTTATATTTATGTAATATAAATGTTGATATCCCCTTTCATTAAAATGCGGCGTTATTGAGAATAAAAACGTGCACAAAGGACAGAGAGAGGCATTTTCAATATCCTACAGACATAAATCGATTAGCATGAGACGCGCGTGAAAGGTCAAGCTGGGTCATATCAACAACAATGTGTGAACGAAACTTGATATCTCTCCAGACAGGTTGGTTGACAAGCTGAAAAAACCCCGTTGTTCAATGTTTCCCACACAAAGCATCTGGGTGGGATTAAAATGCATGTTTTTATAAGGGTGTGATTTAATTGTTTACGGATTACCGTGGTGGATGCCATGATTACGTCATGTAAGTGACAGACAGCTGTCAGGACAAAGGAGATCCATTTCTCAATTGTTCGCAATATCTTTTATCCCTCGAGACATCGGGTATGTTTGGGCAATTACATATACGGGGAAATTACTCGTGTGTACTGGTTACAATACGAACTTTCCCTTTTGTCCCACCCGCCCGTCCGTACATACATACATGCACGAAAGATTGCACAATCCTATGCAAGAGGTTAGATTTGTTCCAACAGATACATAAATTGTAATGTTTGATGTTCTGTCAATAACGGATGTTATCTATTGTGTGTATAAATGTGACGACTTATTAATTCCTACATATATTTGTACAATGACTATATTTAGAACGATAAATGCTGAATTTATATATCGTCAGATAACTGCGTTGTATAGGTTCTAAAACATATAAATATATATATAATGTTATCTATTCTGTGTATAAATTTGATGAATTGTCAATTCCTACATATATTCGCATAATGCCTATATTTAGAACGATAAATGCTGAATTGATATATCGTCTGAAAACTGCGTTGTTGGTTAACTCAGTATTTAATGTCTTTTATACACAATCACTTTATGTTTTCTCTACAATAACTTTGATGTCAACATCAGTTTAATCTGTTTTCACAACAATAGGACTTTTTTACCGAGGACTTTTTTTCCTATAATCTAAAAAACATATATATATAATGTTATCTATTGTGTGTATAAATGTGACGAATTCCCACATATTTACTTGCATAATTTAGAACGATAAATGCTGAACTGATATATCGTCAGATAACTGCGTTGTTGGTTCTAAAACATAAACATATATATGATGTTATCTATTGTGTGTATAAATGTGACGACTTATATCAATTCCTACACATTTATTTGCATAATGACTATATTTAGAACGATAAATGCTGAACTGATATGTCGTCAGATAACTGCGTTGTATAGGTTCTAAAACATATAAATATATATATAATGTTATCTATTATGTGTATAAATATGACGACTTATATCAATTCCTACATATATTTGTACAATGACTATATTTAGAACGATAAAAGCTGAATTGACAGATCGTGTGATAACTGCATTGTAGGTTCTAGAACATATAAACGTTTATCTTACCATCATGTAACATACTTTAATTTCATTGGTCAATGTTTTTTTACAAGTTTCCGTGTCATTCCTCCCATATAGTTTCTATATTCAGCATTAATCAGCATTAATTTGTTATTAATACAAGTTTGCCAATCTTAACATAGGAATACTAATATACTCAAAGAATATATTGTAGTGCCCTAACCTACAGTTCGAAACTTCAGTTTATATGATATGAGGGTGACCATCATGTTGATCCAGCATGCGTTGTATATTCGTTTGTTTGTTGCAATATTCTGGCTATAAATAGCCTGAAAATAAAGCGAGTCTGGACCACACAATGCAGTGATCAACAGCATAAGCAATTGGTGTGTATTCCTCATATTTATGCCCAGCAGTCACCGTAACATCATATTCATTTAGCGAGGTAGCATTCTTTGACACAGATCGTCATGATTACAATTAGAATAAGTATGTTAAAATTGAATAACAATTAAAGAAGAAACATTTATGTTGGCTTAAAATAACCAATAACACTGACGTGTGTATTTACCTCATTGAGATGACCATTTTTGGCAAATATTCTTTGTAGTCATGTAACGTAAATACCATATGAACGTAGGAAACTGTAGAGCACATAACTGTTTATACAGTGCTTACTATATATGGCAATGTAATACAGAGTCGTGCTGTCTTAATCTGTTTGCTATAAGGAAAAGCCCTGACAGCTAAAATCGATAGTGCCAAGTATTACCGGGGGAAGAGTCATAAAATGGATGTCGATTACATTGCCAAACTGTTCTGGTCAGAGAGGGTCAATTTCCATTATCCATTGATGAACGTAACATTTCATATACAAACTATATACACGTATAGCGATGTGACGAACAGTTGTGTAAGTGGAGTTTGAAAGACGAAGAGTTGAGTGTAAGGCAGTCATAAAGGGAGATAAACCTAAGCTTCACCACACACACACACACACACACACACTAACTGTCCAACTGATTGAGCTGGCCTTTGTTCAACTGAAATAACATGTATTCTGCTAACAGATTACATTCAAAGTTAAAATTATTATCTTTCATTATCACTGGCCCAAATGTCAGAAGTAGCTACTGAAAAAACACACGGAAACCCAACTACTTGAATTTCCCAGTATTGGTTAATAAGGATTGTGAAAACGCTGGTAAAGCTCGGCAAAGGAAAGTGACTTTTAGGGTGCTTTCTTCCATATATCCCCAAACAAATTTTCGTTGGTATTCTCCTTTAAACAAACTTCGCAGGACATCCTTACCAGTTAATGACTGAATTCCAACGTCTTGTGCGATCTTGAAAACACAGCAGTTGGCGATCGTATACAATACTCAGGAAATACTTCTCTTTCATCAATTTGGGCCACAGTGAAACGGATTAGTGTGAACTGCTATAGATCCATATATTTCCGTCATGGATCCAAATAGTATTTCTCATGCATGAAGACAAAGCAAATCTTTTACACATTTCAATATTCATGATTAAATTGTTAGGAATAAAAGTTTTACAATCTGTATGAGGGAATATTTATATACTCAAAGATTATATGTCATGTTTATGCAACCTACGTTCAAGGCGTTGTTTATTCGTTTGTCTGTTTGTTTATTTGCTTGCTTGTTTGTTGTTTATCGCAGGACTCAGCAATAGTGGCGGTGGTCTGTAAATAATTGCCACAATAATTCCTAACAGACTTCCTCATTCAAACGGAGAAGTATGACATAATTTAAATAAATGTAACAGCTTGTTAAGTGTTAGGGCGCATATTGGCCCACGGTCACCCCATAACTTTACCCACCGACCTTCCCACCACCGACCTTCCCACCACCAACACCCCACCACCCTCTGTGTTTCACCCCGCCGTGACATTGCTGGAATATTGCTAAAAGCGGCGTAAAACCATACTCACTCACTGTTTCACATGAACTTAAAACTGCATCCCTGAGTCCCTAAACTACCCTACTATATTGCTACTACATCAACTTGATTCCAATCAGATTTTATTTATAACGAAGTAAGACAATGTTTCAGTCAACTACAGTGGTAATACCCCGTGCCACGCCATGCAAAACTATTAAACATTGTACCTCTTGTTTTGTTAACGGCTCGGTCGACCCAGAGTATAATGTGCAAACTTGTGTAAACTGCGACATGCCATACGGCCTGCAAAATACAGGACCAATAAAAGCTGTATGTAAATCTTCTACGACATAAATATGTTCAGAAATATTGTATTTTTCCCACTTTAAGTACTCTATCTCTGGATCCAACCAAACCCGAAAACGTAAAATTGGGGTGTTGGGTAGTTATACTAGACTGTCTCACAGTCCCTGAACCACATTATTCCCCCTAATGCCTATAGCCTTCCCTGCAATACTCAAGTCGTAAATGAAGCAAGTCTAGATTTCCCCAGGTTCAATCTCCCAACTCTCTGGCGCTCCTATTTAGTTCAAATGAGTTTATTTGTTACGATCAAAATTATATAAATTCAGGGACTAAGCGTTAGTCTAGGTAGTTACTGACTGACCAGGAAGTACGTCAAACCGTTGTCATAATGGGAAGACGGAAAACAGCCGCACACACTTGTTTGAAATACCTTGAACGCGACGTGAAACCCTAGTTCACGTCACCAAACCGATGTCAAAAGCAGTGACAATTCTATAGATCCGTGAAGGTACGGGTTAGAATTGATCGTCAGTGATCCACGCTTGTCGTAAGAGGCGACTAACGGGGATCGGGTGCATGGTCAGGCTCGCTGACTGGGTTGACACATGTCATCGTATCCCAATTGCGTAGATCGATGTTCATGCTGTTGATCCCTGGATTGTCTGGTCCAGATCCGATTATTTACAGACCGCTGCCATATAGCTGGAATAATCCTGAGTGCGGCGTAAAAGTACACTCACTCACTAACCCAGTGACAATTCTCAACAAGCATGCATATGTCTTCCAGTCATAAGCTTGAAGAAAACTTGATGACGGTAGTGTTGTCCCCTGACAGTATGCCTATATTCTCGCAGCATGTTTTACACAAGACGCTGAAACACTGGATGCAATGTTTCATTTTCTTCTCAGTTTTAGGTTCGGCGGGGTAGCTTAGTTTTTAAAGCGTTCGCTCGTCACGCCGAAGATTCGGGTTCGATTCCCAACATGGGTGCATTGTGTGAAGCCCATTTCTGGTGTCTCCCACCTTGATATTGCTAAAAGAGGTGTAAAACAATACTTACTCACTCACTCACTTCTCAGGTTTAAAGAATAGCACACAAAGTAGGGATACCAAATGTTTGTATTTATGTTTACCATTCAGGAATGCAGATAATATAGCCTTATGCAATGCATGGAGATTATTACACGAGCAAGTTTGTCAAACGACTTACGCGAAACGAGTGTGAAATTTTTTATTTCTCGCTTGGGCAATACATAATTTTGCACGAGTTTCGTATATGTGGTGACACACATGCTCGAGTGTAATAATTTTTTTATTGTCCATTTTATTCATGTAAAACACGGTAAGCAAGTGTGACTGCCCTGTTCATTGACGCCAGGCTCAATTGTTTAATGACGTCACAGACCATGAAACACAGAAACAATGTTTGCTCGGCAAAAGTGATATGTAGATGATGATATATATGACACTGGTTATGTTTTACCATATGGGTAATAAGAAATGTTGCGTTTATTGTATAAAGTAAAATCTTAGCTCACGCAAGGTATATATGCCAGGATGCTGTTGTGACAACCATGGTGCTAACACTACATGTACCTAAGTCTACGTTAAGGTATGGGAGTTACGGTCACCTTAGCGCTAAGATCGCTTTGTACAATGGCACAATGTACGTGTGTGTATACATGCAAACACCGAGACCAGCTATTTTAATGGGCAATTCATCATTTTCGTAATTTGTAATTTTGTTGATAGATATCAACTTACTCAAAACAAAATAAACGCTGTATTTGTAAACACCCTCCTTAAAAACACATTTTAACATATTTAACTTCGCCAAAGCCTTACATGACGTCGACAATGCGTGACTAACGGCAGGACACATATGCGTTGTTTAACCAGGAAACCTAGTTTGAAACTGTACAACATGGTGATAAATCACAAACCACGCGGTGTATATAAATAGATACAGCTAAAGTTGTCCAAACCTTAAATGACGTCATGGTAATTAGAAGCTTGATATCCACACATTATTCATTTATTTGAAACTGAAAAACATCGAGACCAAAAACTTATCACGTGCTGGGAATTAAGAGATAGAGTTAAGGTTGTCACAGCTGACGTTCCGTGACATTAGCACTAACAGTTTGATGTTAACACTTTCAAGTTTACTTGATCTGAAACATTTTACTGAAAAGATAGATCTTTGTATTAATATCCCTACATGTGTATATATATGTCACGTTTAATCAAAACTAAGGGACCGCTAATATAATTTATGGCTAGGTGGGGTGGGGGTGACGATGATTTTTATGGAAAAGCAAATGTACACAATGTGAATGACCGCCCCCTAAAGTTTGTGTACAAGTATTGATGCCCCCCCCTAAAAATAAATTTAAAAAATGAAATAAACGAAATAAGATAAATAAATATAAATACCAAAATATATAGATATTATCACCGCCCCTAAGAAACCACGGCTACCATACAAGGAAAACGTCTGTTGTTTCATTGTGTCATGTGGGGGAATTATATTGTCATTTCCTTCATGAACCAGTCACGTGTTTATAATATACTGAGACATGTTTACGTCATTGCTTTGTTGTCAACGCTTCGTGGGCACGGGGGAAGCAGAATAGACCATGAAAATAGTGTGTGCGTGTCGTTTTTCGAAAAGACTGTCTAAGTGTCAGACATATCCTAATGATACAAAACATGAATAACGAGCGCAGAAATAGTAACAAAATTGAAAATAGTCTTGAAAGTAACGGGATCCACATGGCGTCATTTGGCATCCGTCTACAATGCCGTAACCCAATGTGTCTTTGCGTAACCCAAGAGAATTATTATCAAAGATGCATTTTGTATGTAACTTTATTGATTCGATTGTGGGCTTTGACTAGAATAAACTACACGCTATGAGGAATTTGAGGTTTCAGGTACATGGCCAAGACACAAACTTCTTCCACTCCATATGATATCAAGCGAAGTTCGTTGGTTCCGAGTCCACGACATTGTGTAATGACGTCATAAGAGATGATGATGTCATGGTGCATGAATGTGCCCTGCAGGTTAGAGTGAGTTTAGTTTTATACCCCACTCAGCAATATTCCAGCTATATGGCGGCAGTCTGTAAATAATCGAGTCTGGACCAGACAGTCCGGTGATCAACAACATGAGCATCGACCTACACAACTGAGATACGATGACATGTGTCAAAGAAGAAAGCTAGCCTGACCGCCCAGCCGTTAGTTGCCTCACTTCAGGTTAGAACAGTTACCTTTCTGAGTGAGTGAGTTTAGTTTTACACCCCACTCAGCAATATTCCAGCTATATGGTGGCCGCCTGTAAATAATCGAGTCTGGGCCAGACAATCCGGTGATCAACAGCATGAGCATCGATCTGCGCAATTGGGAACCGATGACAGTTACCTTTCTGAAACCACTGAAACCAAAAGATAGGAATTTGAACAGGCCTCACCTGCAGATACCTATCGCCATATTTTCTGTGAGGACTGAAATCTTCAACATGCAGACTTGAAAGCCAGTCATCTTGCTCACTAACTTTGGGAATAACAATACAAAGTCAGATACAGTGATAATGATTTTTTTATGTCAATCATTATTTTCAAAGTGTTACAAAGATGAGTTCTCCGCCAGTTGTCTGGCAAATCCTTCTCCTTCTCCCTAGATGAACATATCACAAATGTCTAGAGACTCACATATTACGTCTAGCAAGTGGCTACAGCGCCCTCTACATGCCAGCAACTCACTCTCCACATCACACTCACGCTCGCTCTCACGTTCTGTCCTTGCATACCCTATATACAGGACCAGTCAGGCTATGTACAGCATCTCTCAAGCTCTTGCTCATGCCTTGTGGATGTAGATCTGCCTTGTGACAGGCAGACAAAAACTAAATAACCATTTGTAGCATGAGGGATACAAAATATTATCCCAACAGTTACTATCAAAATAAACATTGACCTTATTACTGTGATTAAGGATGAACTAATTGTTTTCAAGTATTTCCCCCAAAATATAACTGTTGATGAAAATTGCAGGATAACACCATTGTTATAGCCAAAGCTACGGAAACAGACTTAAACATACCAGGTGTGCTGTGCATGAAGCTACCTACTATAAGCCTTGGCAAACAGTAAAAACATTTCATAATTCTTTTTAATATCAGGCCAGCATAAATTATCAATTAGATTATAATCCTTCCAGATTTTTCGATTTCTTATGCTGTCTTCACAGCTCCAAATAATTTCCAAGTAAATTTTGCCAAACTACCATTCCTGTGTTATTGGTCTGTCCATGACAGAAATACTTTGTCTCAATCCTGTTTCAGGAAACATGGATGGTAATCAAATAAATAATATACTCAAGCCTAATTAAACATGACAAAAATGATGTTTTCATGAAGTGTAATGTCAAAGAAACAATCCATTACAGTACAGATAAGAAATCTACAACAAAGCTATTAAAACATAGTAATAAAGATAAAATATTGTCTCATCTGCTTTGTTATCTTCACTTACACAAACTTACAGTTAGTTGATGGTTAAGCCTTTTAAATATCAGTATCTGACAAATGCGTTTTGCACCACCAACAATAGTAAAATAAATCACTCTGCTATTCAACAAAAGATAACAACATGTTCCAAAATTGACAAAGAAACCAGGCCATTGCACTTCCAGAAAATGTCGCCTCTGAAATCCTTTTCAAGATAGATTTCCTTCCAGAGAAACATAATGAAGCATAAGTTATCTCAACTGATATACCATTCAAAACAAATAAGATTACTTGTACAAATACTGGGTCCAATTATATCGGGGCATAAATGTTCAGTCTTCACAGCTCGGATGAATTTCATTTTCAGAAGTAATCAGTGGCTGACCTTAAGATAGTTTAAATGCTTGTAGCTCGAAACATAATATGCCATCAAAGGATACTTGTCTTAGATGTAAACAAGGTCACCACTGACTAATTACCTTATCATTACAAAACAACACGTAAAACAAATTCAAGTCCAATACAAAGCAGATCATAATTTCCAAAGAAACATATCAGTCATGTTGTTTTGACAGTTTAACATCTCCAAGGTATTGATGAGTTGAAGAATAACATCACATTGCTACATTGTTTACACAAACCTCAAACACTTTGGGTGAACAAAGTAATGAAAGCATCAGTGAAGTCAAATAATCAAAACGACTTATGTGTGAGTAACTAGGTACATATTCAAACAATTTCACCGACATAATCAAATAGCACTCTGTATGAAGCATACACCTTTAGGGATGACAACTTCTTGTTTATTGCATCGAGCAACGTTTCAATGTAGATTCTTACACCGCTATCAAGCTAAAAGTCTTTTGATAACATGTGAGAATCTACATCAAAACGTGCTCAATGCAATCAACAAGAAGTTGTCATCCTGAAAGTTGTATCCTTCAATTTTGACTCACCAACTTCTAGAATGCTGATCAAACAATTAGCACTCTATGTTATGCAGTCATCGTTCTAAGCCCTTGTTTCGGCTCAATGCATCAATTTTTCAAATTGTTTTCATGACTTTAAACCATGTCAACTAACAATTCTGTGAACCAACAGAATTCAAAGAGTGAAGTAATCATACCAACAAAGCTGGATATTAACACAGATAGCAACTCATACAAAGAAAAAAACACCTGCAGAATCCATTAGAACTGAAACCCTGACATGAAATATGCACAATGCCAAATAGCACTAACAGTGTTTATCACACAAGAGAAGATTCTAAACAGTAACAATGTAATATACATATGACACACACAATAGGGAAGAATATTACTGAAAACATTTGTAAATAATTAATTTACAAAAAGAACTAAATATTTAAGTAAAGTGTTCACCATGATAAGCAATATTTCAATCTTGTGACAATATACATCATGGTAAAAGCCTCTCAAGTTTTGGGAGTGCCACAACACACAAACGTTAGTGCCCAGCAACCAGTTTGTCTTCATCCCAGAATTTCCGTCTTCTTCATCGGTAAATGCTATTAAAAATATAACACTCATCAGAAATATCTCACATTACTGAACACGGATGTAGAGGAGTAGTTGTTTCTTAGGAAAAAATGTTCCATAGGATATGTTACGCCATTCCACATCAGTACTGGGTTCACGGTTAAGACAAATATATACACTAAATTATATAAGTAATGGTCTGACTATTACTTCTACACATTTATGAACAGTAATACTGAAATGTTAATAAAACATCTTGTTTTACAAATTTTGATTAAATAAGGTGCTGTTTAAAATTCTTCATTGATATGAACATTACATTCTGAAGAAAGTTGAAAGTTACAGATATTTTTGGACATCATAGGCCAGACCATTTTAGTTCCTTGCCCCAGCTGTTGCCAAAGTAGAAACTACAAACTAAACAAAGAAGTCTCTGATTGAAAGCATCTTCATTTCAAACAGAGACCTGGCACTCATGTTTTTCTTTGACATGAAAGCATTTCTTGTTCAATAACATACATGCCGGTCATGAGGACTACTTTCAGAGCCTATGGGGTTTGTACAATGCTTGTATATACTACGTGTATATACTGCTGCCATTATCGCCTTACTTTGAGCTTGTCTTACTTCACTAATTTAAATTGCTTGAATCAAATTTAAACACCAAAGTGTTGTGAAATCTAGACATTGAGAAATTTGTCAGGTCATTTAGTTGTTGCATATTTGTACAAACAGATTTTGATTCTTAATGACTTAACTATTATATCTAAAGTTTATTTTACCACTGCACCTGCAAATGCTATAATAAGATGGCCTGGGAATTGAACCTCTTTAACTATTTGTTATTTACAGACTATTTTTCATAAACACGCATTTGTGAAAATTTCTGCAAGCAATGCTTGTTTAATATTAATGACAGACTTGTTCATGATCACTATGGTATCATTTATTTGTCAACCCCAAACAAAGCAATGAAACACCTGTATGACAACATGCTCTTTTTGGCCTGGGTAATTTGGCATTATTTCATATGGCATTGTCTCTTGGGGGTTGTATACTCCCTAGGGAGCACAGGATGAATGGAGAGAACACAGATCCACTGTCTAATGTAGCGTAAATGTAGCACTTTGAGTTGCTTCAAGGATAGTTTGGCATATCATAAGTGTACCCCATTGTATTATTGTGATTATTTAAAATGGTCTGGCCTTGCCAAAAGTGAATCCATTTTGACATCAAACAGAAGGATTTACCTCCTTACTTGTAAAGGTGATCATTATGTGTAATAGTAAATTATAGGAAATACTCAGATGAATTCTTACAGTCAAGCGCCATAGAATCTATAAGACGTATTTACACCCTACAAAATACAGTTTCACAAAGTTGCTGTTACCAAACTCTCTACTCTTTGATCATCACAGAAAACGGGCATATTGGAAAGATGTTCATATTTACATCCACTACATGTCAAATCCGCAAATCATAAATGTTAATAAATGTTTGTGAAAGTCCTTTATGTAAGACTCACAAAGAAATTGTATTAGTTCAAATGCTTGCATATTTCTTATTCTTTTTCAGACCAGCTGATTACTGTGTTTCACAATAAAAGAAACATGCACAAACAATGTCTCGCAATGTGCACAATATCTGCAGCCCACTGACTGCAGTTGAGACTAGAGTTACTTCCCTTCTTATGTCATTTCTATGTACAGATGAGAATTTACTAGGTACTTTACCACATAAACAGCATGGAAACACTTGGTAAAATCTCTAAATAAGGCAGAAAACACTCAAGCAGCACTACTGTTAACAACATTTCATACTAGAATTCAAATATTCTTCTAGACTGGTTTATGACACACTGCATTATGAATTTTCATTTGATGTTAGTAGACAACTTAAACAAAAGTCTGCTGTATCATATGGAACTCAATTTCAAGGTTGAATGTAATCTAGAAAAATTTCTCAGCAACAAGTGAATACCTTGTTTATTACTGCTAAAACTAAACAATCCAATACCCAAAGAATAATCAGTTTATATCTTCTTTTATGAAAAGAAAAATGAAGAAGTTGGCAAAAGTAAATGTCTGCTCCTGTTCTACTAATCCAAACCTTCATGCTTTATGTATGCATTAAGTCATCATGACCTACCCATCTTAAGATCATCGGTTGAACTAGAAGTGCATAATACATACTTTAAACAATTGAACTGTACACTGAATATAGAATATTTGTATCTGTGGACAATGACAGAACAAAGGCTCTGCTTTTACTGTGGCTAATTTTGGGAATTGTTACCAGGGAGTCCGAGCATTGTTATGGAATTTAATGCTTCTTCTTACTTAGCACAGCTCAATTCAAAGAAATAAAACCCACTTGCACCAGGAGCAACCTGTATCAATGACCTTTTTGCACCTGGAGCAACATTAGTTAATAACTTTGTTGCACCAGACAAAACAGGTTGCACTTGCAGCTCAATCTAAAATCAGACACAATGCTTGTGTTTTGGCATAGATGATTTAGAACATTGTTATTCTGGGTCTAATAAAATCATTTGATCTTACTTAAAATTGCACACCGGTTTGTTATCACTTTTTTCCAGCTGAAAACAGAACAACATTAATATGCACTGGGTGCAATTTGGTATAAATAGATGAGGTTGCAATTTGCAGTCTCAGGCTGCACCGGTGAAAGTTCTAAATACTTAAATGGAGCCCTGTTAAGTGTTAGATTAAAGAATTTCAGTAATCATCTGTTCATGACTTCCTTCTGCTTCAAGCTGATATCTAGTAAGGGCTGCTATTTCCATGCACAATGACCGCTGTTGCCTGGGATCTAAGTGCTGTGCAGAACATCAAATGTTTCTTCAGACTACTCAACCTGAAATCTTTACAATGATCAGTGGGGGTGTAATGGCTGATCATCAACGCATGGCAGCGACAACGAAAGTCAACATCAATACCATGCTACAAGGACACATGCACTGATGGCCAATAAAACATGGGATAAAGAAAGACTTTTCCCCTTCTGTTTTCATCCAAAATATACCTTGCTCATTGGGAAACTTTGCTTCCATTCAGAATAGGTGCATGCATTTTTCATGAGAGGAACCTCAGTTAATTTAAAAATCTGTTGATTCCCTCCATTCAGGATTTATCATGTTAACCCAAAGAAAATTTACATTACACAACTGAAGGGGTGATAGCCAAACTGCTGAACATTACAGCATTGTCCTAAAGTTACTGACTACTGCCAAAATATTGTAAAAGTCACACCTAAAACTACAGCATTATTGCAATAATGTAGCACACAGTTGTGAAAGTTATACATACATTGCAACAGTATTTCAAAATTTTGCAGAATCTGGCAATACTATTGCAATAATCATGCTTAAACTGCAACATTGTCCCATTAATTATTACTGACTATGGCAATACTGTTCCAAGAATCATACCTAAGCTGCAACATTGTCACATTCTTGAAGCTGATTATGGCAATACTACTGCAATAATCATACCTAAACTGCAACATTGTCCCATTTTTGTTGCAGACTATGGCAATACTGTTGCAAGAGTCATATTTAAACTGCAATAGTGTCACCCTAATGTTGTTGATTATGACAATACAGATGCAATAACAACATGATGTTGACAGTCGCCCCTAGTGATCAGTGTCAAATTCATCCACTTCATTATAACAACTCTCCAGTTGCTTTGTTCCCTGAGTTGAGGAATAAGTCAGTTAGAAAACCAAACCACCATTCACACTGCCCCTCAACTGCTCGGAGGATATGAGCCTCACAGATGTTTCCTCTTCCAAAATAGACGTCTTGAAAACTGGTCATTGACATTAAGTTTCTGAGACAGTCACTTTTCTTACTTTTCAGTGTCCAAAACATCCCTGATGAAAAAATCCTTATTAAACATTCCTAATAAAACAGTAATAGTTCATGCTTACAACCATTGACATTAATGACCACAAAATAGAATTCAATCTCAGAAGTATCATTGATAACTTGAAAACAAGAAGAGCTATTTATATCTCTCTGAAATATATGTATTAGAAGACACCATGTGCAGTTCTAAGAGAAATAATCCTGCTGTTTACTGGAGGCAAGTGGTGTCAAATGTTGGATTTACTGACAGTTATTAAAATCAAGTTAGGAGGGCAATAAAATTTTAACAGAAAACATATGGTTAATTTAGACAATAAATAGTCTGTAAATACATATTTTGCCCTTTTCTTAATATCTCTCCTACATGTATCATAATAAAACCATTTAATTAACAGATCAGATGACTCCTTATTTGACTGTATGTAAAATCAACAATTTTCTGACAGGATTCCTTTTCAGTTGATTCAATTCAAGGCAGTAGCACTACAGTTGGTTACACACACATTGCAAGATTCCACTGGGTGGTTCAATGTATTAACTCTTAGAAGGGCTATCATCCAATTACAATCCATGAGATTTCCCCAAACACAAGAATCACAAATCTGTCAAGACTTCCAAAGTTGGTTTTGCATTGATAAAGTTATTTCACACCTGGAAGTTAAGAAAATGCTATTTACCCAATGATAACTTATGTAACATAGAGATAAAATAAGTACATGATCTAGTTTGGGTTGACATTACAAGAAGTTGACGGAAGTTGTCTGAATGGGAACATGACAGAATGGACAGTTCCTGGTCTTGGTGGCACAAGCCTCACACAACACTCGATGACTACACGGGAGAATGGACACGTTCCTTTTGTTGGTCTGACAAACTAAGCACTTTGTTGATGTTTGTTGATAAATTATCTGAAAAGAAACAAGAGAGATAGCATTTCATATGAAAGGAGACAACACCTGAATTCATGTCATGTTATCTATGAGGGCAGTTCTGGCTTCAGTCATCTGTAAATTGGTTTGAAAAGTCACATTTCTATTACAGTTCTGCATACAGACACAAAAGAAACTCATCTACCATTGTGTCACATTTTACAGTTTTCATAAAAATGCCAATCCACTGTTATGTTTCTATTGTCTTCAACATAAAGAAGCAAGAGAAACTATGAAAACACAATGCCATTTAAACTGAGAAGAGAAACTAGAGGAAATGCATGTTGAGGTGTATTTTGGACAACTTTATTTAAATAAGCATTGTTTAAAGAAAGAAAACAAACTTCCAAACATGCACATAGGTGGATCTAGAGGTGGGGTGCACGGGTGCACCCCCCAGCCCCTGTCCTGAAAGTTTACTAAATGACCATTGACACCCTCATGAAAATTAAGTATGCACTTTCTCAAGAATGTGCACCCCACTCCCTTTCTCAAAAAGCTGTATCCCCCCCTGCATGCACTGTATAAACGTATCCTTTCCAACAGTAAAATTATGGCCAGGTTGATCACCAAAATTGAGGAAAATATTCATTTCTGCCAAAAACTGGATACACAGGTTTCTGAAAACTTCACACTGAAGCCTGAGATCTAAGACTTTAACGCAGTCTTAGATATCCAGTGTGTTAACCAAGAGAGTGAGTGAACATTCTTCCACACCAGGCAACTACAGCAATAACTTTCACAAAGTGACAACTGCCTGTAAATACCTGAGTCAGGGCCAAGCCTAGAGCAAGAACAACTTCCTGTCTCCACCCATAATCAGTCATCTCTTAGAACAAGCGTTGGGTGTCTGGGGCCTATTGTGACCCAGCTTTCACTGTCTTTCTGGGGATCAGTGAGGTAACCTGGTGGTTAAAGCATTCGCCGTCACACACGAAGACCCAGTTTCAATTCCCCACATGGGTTCAATGTGTGAAGCCCATTTCTGGTGTACCCCCAGTGATATTGCTGGAATATTGCTAAAAGCAGCATAAAACCATACACACTCACTCCTGTGTTTCTGTTATCGTAAAAATACATTCTACAGCTGACTCACCTCATCTACCCGTTCTAAATCCACATGTAAGGTCTGTCGTATGTGTCGTAACGCTGGCAGAGACAAGTTTTCTAGATCTGTTATTCTGTGTAACGTTCGTAAGTAGGGTCCCCCATTCAGACTCTCCAGCTCTTGCTTCAACCTCTGAACCTGAGTCAAAGACTGCATGATGAAAAGAAAACAAAGAACACTGAAGTCCTGAAACAAACATAACATTGAAGTTGCCCTAAGAAACAAGAGAAGACGGCATCAGCTGTCACAATGATGTTATTACATGCTATGTAAAATACTTGTCCAAACGTTCATTTTATTGGTCAGTGATATTTTCAATCTTACTGTTCATTCAAATAAAGAATGCCTTTAACAAATTAATACATAAAACTTTGTCACAATAAAGTTTACAAACAGATGGTGATTCAGTGCAGTTTGAATGATTTTGATGGTGTGGACATCTTTGATTTTTGGATATAGCAGGTGTTTGAACTGATATTTTTTACTCGTTTTCATGCAACAGGAAACATTTATCATGTATTACACAGAACCCACAGCTATATCTTTCATAGAGTATGTATTTAAACTCTAAAACTTAAATATAAATAACTGGCCATGTAAACTGATTTTGCCTAGTTTTTTTAACTGGCCACTTGTAGGCACATTATTAAAGACATAAAGTATCTACCTCGTGGGCATGAGTGTGCCGCAGTGGATATATTGCTGATAGATAAATAGCAGTGTATGAAATAAAGCCCGTCAGACCGCCCAAGACGGGCTAGATTTCTGATGGACAGTCTAAATTTACAGCTAGCCACCCCGATGGTCTGGTAAAATTTTTCGCTAACATGTTCCATACATCCGAGTAAATTCACCATATCTTAAAATCTAATCTCTGAAAATGGCTGTTTTGAACAGACTGTCAGACAGTAAATGCATGTCTCAGGTTGATTAAGTTATTCATTATAACTAAAAATTTAGCTATGTTATTTGGATTGTCTGGTCTGGTGAAATCCATTTTGGGCTGGTAACATTTTGAAGTCACCAGCCCTGATGTCTGGCTGGGTTTTTGGCTTATCTCATACACTGTAGATAGATAATTAAAAGTTTAATAGGTCTTCGGGCAACAGGGCCCATTTACACCGTGCCCATCACAAAGGTTTGCTAAGATTCTTAACTTTTATAAAGTTGTGATATATTGCTGACTGCGCCAAAACTATTACCATTGTCTCACCTACACTGCATCATTAATGCAATAATGTTGTTGAATGTTGCAAAACTATTGTGAGAGTCACACCTACACTGCAACAGTATTTCACAGTCAGAGATACTACAGCCACAGTGTATCATGTACGTTGCTTATACACCAATCATAACAGCATGAGAAACAATCTCCATGCTCCGAAATGAGGCCAGGTCACACACAGTAACCATACATCATCCAAATCAAGTCTTTAAAGCATGCAGAACACTTCTGCCCTTAAACCCTCACAAATGAGGTGTCTACATGTAAGCGCATCAGGCTACAAGTAACTACTCCAGAGAAGTGAAGAACGCAGTCTAACCTCATCCCTCTGTTTCACAGCCTGTATTTTGTCTTCATCAGCACCCTTGGCTTTCTTCATGGACTCCTCAGCCTCCTTCTTCCATGCATCGCATGCCTACAACGAGCAAAGTTTGCAGGGTGCCGAGCAGGTGATGGAGCAGGGTGGCACCACACATGAAGCAAAACCACAGCCACTTACAGCAGGGGCATGCCTGACACACCACACCACTCTCGCTCATCATGTAGCCTAGCAACTCATTATACAACTTTCAACTTCTTCAAGTCCAAAATGCAATGAACCCAAGACTTTGGCATGTTTCAGTTGTAGGGAGTCAGAGACTGAGTAAGGATTTACACTTCAATTAGCATATTTCAGCAATATGAGCCAAATTGTGACACCAGAAATTGGTTTCACATACTGTGCCCATTTGATGAATTGAAATGAGCCAACCCTTCAACCAATATACCCGACACATAATTACATACAAGCTGAATGGACAGCCAGCCTAACTTGGTGAGATTGTGAATTTGTTAAAACCCTGTTGGATCCCTAATTAGTGCTATGACAGTTATATTGCAACCTTCACAGTGATATTAGTCTTTGAATAGAAAACATCTTATTATGAATGTTTATTGTGTATTTTACTTAGAGGCAAATGACAAATCAGTGACCTGCATGTTTCTGTTGACTCCTTTATTTCTTCCCCTGTCAATATCAGTGGCCATGGTGGCCAACTGATTCCCATTCAAGCAGTAAACACACTCTATCCTACACTGGTATCATGTCCCCAATAAGATCTAATGAACACTTTGTCTAACCAAACAACCACTGATTATGTTGAGCTGCACACAGGAAAGATGCCATCCACTTACACATTTAGCTTGTGTGTACACTCCTTCCCAGTCCGCCAACTTGGCCTTTGTGACGATCAGTTCTTCTCGGAGTCGCTGTATTTCCGAGTTCTGTGTACACGTGAGAGAGGATGACGACAACATCGGCGACTGTGGACCTGTGCTACGTGGAGACATTGAGTTGACATCGCTGAAGGATGCACTGGACAACTTCACCGTGTTAGAGTAATTAAGGAACGGAGAAGACGACTGAAGGAGAAGAATAAAAAAATCTAATTGTAACAGAAGATTCCCGTATGTTCATCCCATTAATTGTTAGACTCTTGTAAAAATCTAGGTGTTAGAAAATTCAAGTAAATGAGAAGGTAAATGTGATTTGCCATGATTAGCAATATTCCAGCCCTATCATGGAATCATCAAAGTTATCCAAGCTGATCAAAGCAAACCAGAGGTTGATTGATTGTATCAACATGAAGCATTAAGTACAGAGGCCCTCTTTCAACATCCCTGTTCTGTTAAAACAACTATATCAGGCCTAAGTTGAAGAAGATTCATGATTTTTTTCTTAAAGATGGCAACCTCAAATCTTGATGCCTTCCAACCTCTTCTTAGTGAGACATATCCAAATGATATATCATCTGAATCCATCAAGCAAAGTTGATAATGCAAAAAGCTTATTGACAACCATGATGACAGTGCAAGAATATAAGCTCTCTGAGCTTACATGGATTAGAAAAACACAACTCTGAACAAAAGAATTATTTTACCCCTTTCTGCCGGCCAAAAAACTTAAAGTTTGGAGTCTTTTTTACCACCAGTGTGAACCTCAGTCTTTAATACATCTTCAATATCAGCTTAATGCTGTCATGTCTACAGTGTAGCTTCCTGGATTACCTGTTGTCTGCCTTGCTCTGTGACGTGGTCATGCTTCTGAACCTGCAGAGGCATCATGGAGTGGGGGAAGCTCCCAAAGGGGGAGGGTGGAGACTGAGACAAGCTTCCCACACTGCCCCGCTGCTGGATCGTGCTGGGAGGGATCCCTATTGGCCCTGAAGTCGTGCCTAGCAGGCTTGACGCCGATAGTCCTGCACTCAAAGAGCTGCTCACTGAATTTGTGTCATTATCGCGGTCTAATTCCTTGTCTAAGTTGTTAATGTCAAAGTCATCAAGGCTGATATCGTCTAATGCTTTCCCTGAAAATGAGACATCATGATATCAACATATACACATTAAATACTACTCCACTCTTTAAATGTATCATCAAATATGTCATTCTATTTGACACAATATAACAATGAGCTTAGTAGGTCATTAATATAACAATGAGCTTAGTAGGTCATTAATATAACAATGAGCTTAGTAGGTCATTAATATAACAATGAGCTTAGGAGGTCATTAAAGTTTTGCATGTGTAACAATGAGCTTAGGGAGGTCATCCATGTTCTTTATCCATGTTCTTCAACGAGTGAGTGAGTGAGTGAGTTTAGTTTTAAGTTGCTTTCAATCATATCACGACTGGGGACACCAGAAATGGGCATCAGATTTTGTACCCATGTGGGGAATTGAACCCAGGTCACGATTTCACCATTAGGCTACCCCACTGTTCTTCAATGGACCCATGAAGATCCAGGTTCGAATTGACCTTCATGCTTGTCGTAAGAGGTGACTAACAGGATCATGTGGTCAGGCTCGCTGACTTGGTTGACACATGTCATCGTCATCCCAATTGTGTATATCGATGCTCATGCTGTTGATCACTGGATTGTCTGGTCCAGATTCGACTTTCTACAGACCGGCGCCATATAGCTGGAATATTGCTGAGTGCGGCATAAAACTAACCTCACTCACTCAATGACAATGAGCTAGAGTGTTTTCCAACAAGATACATATTTCATGGAGGGTAGGTCATATTGTTTTAACAGAAACTTCAAAATATATAGTGTTCCAATACTAAATAGCATAAAGCAACAAAATAGCTCCTGTTTAATATACAAATTTCATGAAGATATTCAAGACAATACCTGAATACACTTTCAATATCCAAAGTCAACTTGAGGTGGGAAATAACAAAATATTGCTAAGTGAGTTTAGTTTTATGCAACAATATGGTGGTCGTCTGTAAATACTTGAGTTTGGACCAGACAATCCAGTGTTCAACAGCATGAGCATCGATCTACGCAATTGGGATATGTGTCAACCAAGTCAGTGAGCCTGACCACCCGATCCCATTAGTCGCCTGTTACGACAAGTATGGATTGCTGAAGATCAATTCTAACCCGGATCTTCCTGGGTCAGATCAGAAGTGAAGAAAGTTTCCCATTCATCTGAGTAGCACAAGATAATTACCTATAACAGACTCCACTGTATCTCCAGGAGGATAGAATGCAGGAGCCAGAGGGGACATGGTGGAGCCTGTTGCCAGTGTACGTGACTGAAGATGTGACATGACATTCGGAAAGGCACTCTGTGGTACACCGCTGCCACCCATGTTACCACCGTGGTTGGTGGTGTTGGTGTTGAGGTTGTGGATGAGGATGAGGTTCTGTTTTCTCTTCTCCCTTTCTCCAATGTCCAGCGATGAGTCATTCTCTATTGCTTGGAGCTGCAGGCGTAATTTGGTCTACAATAGAAAAGCATTCATATACACAATGGAGAAAGTTTCAATCCTGTTGCACAGCAATACAATAAATCTACCCAGTTATTATGAATTAGATTTGTACTCACTGAAACAAATTCTGTTTCAATGACCCAAAACAAGTTTGTTTGATCAATCTCATATCCCTTTGCTGACAAAAATCCCATAAATTAGCTTAGAATGATGTTTCTAATTTAATTCATCAGTGAGTTGCTAGAAATCTGCCACTAGTTACATAAACTGTCAACAGACAGTTTTGGAAATGATCAGCTGTTTTGGCTGTCACCTGTCATTATCAAAGGGAGATAAGCCCTATCTTTAACCCTTCCAAGTTTGCATTGTGTTTTATTATTCAAATCATCTAGTTATAATTTCCAACAGTGCATTCAAAATTAGATCAGATCTTATGTGAATTGAAGAAGATTTTCGTTGAACATGACTACAAAGGTTTCCAATGGCTACGAAAACCCAAACAAATGGAGACCAGATGCTGTTTACCAGGCTACCATCAAGCCAGACATGCACAAGCAGGGAATATGTAGCAAACTGTAAGTAAGGAGAAACCAAACCACACCCATCCCTTTCCATGTTTGTAATAATAAGACTTTCATTGCTTATGGATAACATACACTGAGAAAATGTCTGGACATTAAAATCCCTCGGTCATGGTGATACTGATTAGCATAACTAGTGAAATATATCAGTGTCACAAATAAGAAGATATAGCAAATAGTTTTGGTACTGGGTTGCTGAGAGAATGTTTCCCAGCCCCTAGAGAATAGAAAAATAGAACTCCAACTGATGCCTAGATTGACTCAACTGTAGCCTGAAAATAGGAATAGCTTTTTGGTTTTTCATTTTTGTTTCATAGACAGGTTCCCAAGAAGCTAAAAGCATGTTGAGACTCAGTGCATACCAAGGTAATGATACCTGTCATACAGGGGTACACTTACAGGAGTTCAATTGTTTTTGAAATAGTCATTTCCAGTTTTTGGTAATTGACACTATAAGGCATTAATTATTTAAAGACGATGAAAAGTTTCAGATCATGTTTTTGTTATAAAGAATATATTAACTTAATCACGCAAAATCAAACTTAGTTGTGGCTACTTATATAGTTGTAGTCGACAGGTATTAAGACCAAAATGTGAATTAAAAAGGCTTAAACTCTCAGTTTTACTTTACTTTTACTTCCTACTCAGCAATATTCCAGCAGGGAACACTAACAGTAAGTTCACAAATAGACCAATTTGTGGAATCAACCAGTCTTAATCAATAGAAGCCAACCCCTGACCCATTGGCCCACTCTACTGATACTGAGGTGGTTATTCTAATGGGTTAATGGAGCCACATAAAATATACTCCAGGTATAAGACAACATTCAGGATGACTACACTGTCCCCAATCTCCTTGCTACATGTTATGATTGTCACTACGAATAAACATTATTGTGAAACAAGGATCGCGAACTGTACCTGTAAGTCCTCCCGTTCAGACCCCGGTGCCTTGGGGTGGTACATCGGTCCTGACATGTCAGAACCAATACTGCTAGACATGCTGCCTGACCACCCTTTTCCAATGGGATCAGACAGTGGGCTGCTATTGTGATTTCTCCTACTCCCTATATAACTGTTACTCTGCAAGCAGGAGCGGAGCACGATCACAGGGTTAGTTGAAAAATCCTGAACATGTCAAGTGTCTAAGCCAGAGGAAGTGTGCCTTTATGTATAACAGTATATTAACACAATGCAGATACTTGTCTACAGTCTTATTTGGTTGTCCAGCATATTCTATCATGATACTGTAGTTTAACAGGTCCACTGATAACCCTTATGTTTAGTCTGGTTTGATGGACAACTCAGAAAAAGACGCGTACTCAATCTACAGAGTCCTTTCACAGTTGAAACAGGCAGCAGTATCATCAGGCCTAATTTTATTCCTGCACTCTCAAATACTACTAAACCTTTCTCATTAAAGGACTTCCTGTATTTTTATGCTCAGGAAAACATCATTTCCAAGTAAAAGATTATATTTTTGGTTTATGATTCAATAAAACAGATGAAGGACTTCCCCAAATTACACATGGAGCAATCACCAATGTACTGTTCAAGAGGCATTGGTTACAGATTTACAGGTCACTTGTGAATGCCTGTGCAGAGATAGTGATGGTAGAGAAGGATATGAAAACATCACTCCTCAAACAACAATATCCTGCAATGAGTCCAGGGTATTTGTCCTCATAAATATAATGCACTGGGTAATTGAAGATGGTCTACAGTAGCGACGGGTAGTGTGCATATTATACTATCAAAAACAAAGAAGAAAAATGTACCTTCTGTGAAATCATTTTTTCAACCATTACAAAGTGTTATTGTCACTGTGTATGCCTTATACACCTGACTGTTTATAAGTGAATTGACGAAGGCAACATATGTAACACTGTGTTCAGTAAGCGCTCCTAAATGTTTAGAAAACAGATGTCTGATCCTAATCCTCATCAAGGTCACACGCTGAGAAATCGTTTGTATTCTGCATTTTGTTCAATCATTATGTAGATTTCAGGAACCTTTTCCTGTTAACAAGGCAACATATAGCTTTAGGCTTAATTCGACTTTCATTTAAAATTATTTGCCTTCCAGATGCCTGACAATAACCGTTCAATATATGCTTGCTTTCACACATTTCCCCTGGCGTCAACAAATGACATTTTCAAGGCTTCAGTGGAATCTTCATCAACAGGAATGATACACAAGGAATGATAACCATTTTGGAAGCGGCACATGTGCTTGCCTTTGTTAATAATACATGATAAATACTGCATATTATACTTTTTACTGTCTACTATTAATATCAGAAGATTCCACCTTTACAAAAATCAAATCAAACAACAAAATATATGACATGAAGAAGCAATGAATTCCATCACAAATATTCAACGCCAGTTGAGAAATTATCTCCATGTTTAACTCATTTCAGATGCACAAAACAACCCAAAATATATCAATTTAATTTACTTAAGAGTCTATGCAGCCATGCATGATATAAACACAAAATTGCTAAAATGCAAAAAAAGTAGGAAACACTTAAACTGGTGCACACAGGAACAGAATGCAGGGATGCAAAACAAAGTAACCATGGCAACATGGCACCATTATTACAACAACTAAATGAGACACAGAGCTCAACAAAAGCCGCAGATGAGCTGATCACAACTTCATCAGTGAACTCATTTGAACAATGTCAACTAAACCCAGAAGGAACTCGAACACATTTATACTTACATGATTTGATGATATGCTATTAGCTCTTTCTTTTCCTATAGGGTTAGGTAATTTTCCTTGGAACATAGATTTACCATTCTGCTCCTGATGAAGAAGTGTCTGTACAAATAAAGAGACTTCACATAATGGCAGTGACAAAAACACAGCATCAACAGTAGTCTGAAGTACATGAACCTCAAAAGAACAAAGCAAAATGGGCATTATTTTCTGTAAGACATTAACTTAATTACAGGGGATAAATATCAATTACGTGCAGTAAACGCATACATTTATGAAAACATAATATAGCTATCTGTTTTATCCATAACAAAACTCTTTACATCTAAGAGAAATAGGAAATGCCCACACAACAATTAATTTGAATTATTTTCACTTTTAGATTTGCCTTATAAAAAATAGGTCACCTCTATTTTAAAGCTATTTTCTTCTGCAGTATTTTTGTCACCGTTCTTGTTGCTATTGCTTGGAGGCGTGTCAGGTAACACATTGGATAGGAACGCAGCTAGAGAATTTTCAGAGGCTGGAGTCATATCACGATCTGTTGTCATCTCATCTGTAGCATGGAAAATAGTCTCACCAACACTTCACAAGACATGAGTAATAGCGTCATGGAAACAAACAATTCACAAGTTTCCACTTTCAATAGATAAAAAACAGCGTGAGTGAGTGATTGCAACTGCTAGTATACAACTGAGATGTTGCAGGTAATTGTTTGTAATTTGTCCTTGTTTGAAGCTGCACTCAGCAATGTTCCAGCTATATGGCGTCCGTCTGTAAATAATCCGAGTTGGAGCAGATAATCCAGTGATTAACAGCATGAGCATCGATCTACATAATTGGGCGACGATAACATGTATCAAACTTGTGAGCGAGTCTGATCACCCAATCCCGTTAGTTGCCTCTTACGACAAGCATGGGTTGCTGATGACCAATTCTAACCTAGATTTTCTCGGGTATATTCCAAATAAAGCCTGTATCAACAGCACCTCAACAATGTCAACAACAACCAACTATGTGTACAGTGTACGATCACACGAAATATTGCAGATCAAAGTTAATAAGGCAAGAGTAAACTTGAACACCATAAACACATTGCCAAATTAAATAGAAATAAAAATCTGGCCGAACATATAAAGGATATAAGCCATAAAATGGGACTCAAGAAATCGCCCGACTGTCCGCAAGGGCGATGAAGGAGAGAGTGACAAGAGCATGGTAATGTGCTGGTCACGTGGGACACAGTGGCGGGAGAGGTAAAGGGAGGCAACCTGAATGGGTGAGTGATTTTATGTTTGCTTCAGGGAGCAAAGTTTCCACGTACTGTTTCGGAGGAAAAGGGAGATCAGGATAAGGAAAAATTATCATTTTGAGGTGAGATAATTAATTGTTGCCTAACAAGGCAGTAATATGCTAGCAAATTGCTGCTGATACCCTATGCAGTGGAGAAAGATGATATCATATAATAAACTACTCCTTACTTTCAACGTGAGCAAATGCACAGAAAGGTCCTCTTGGGCAATAACCAGTTTGGACCATGTCATTGCATTTGGTGGACTTGTAAATCTGAAAACACAAAACAAGACCATTCAGCACCATAGCTATGAAGCTTTGAGTACACACTCTCACATAAAGTATACATCTACAATGTTCACTCATCATCTTATCTGTATCTTATTCTTGCTGCTCACAGAAATATAGTTATGAAGAAACCTGAGAAAATCAAATCATTTTTAACATTTGAAATGACAAGTCATTTTAAAATACAAGAAGTTACCACTTTGTCAGACCTTTTCAAGTGTTATTCAATATTTGACTTGCTATTCATCAAGCATGTTCTCAAGTATACAGACCATTCAGCTTTACATAATCATTGATGATAAAAATATCTATTAGTTGTTAAAGGATCCAGATACTTGATTGTCTAGATGCTTTTTTTGTAAAATCCATAAAGGCTGAAAAGCCAGTCATGGTTGAAGTCAGAATGTGGCCCATGACACAAATTTAGAACTAAGGCTATCAGAACAATCTATCTAAGCATGTTTAGCGATGTTTCACCTTGCAACGAGCTGTTTCAAATCTAGCAATGCCTTCTGGGTCATGATGACAAACAACTAGCTGGGTGACATGTTGTAACCACTCAATCTTTATGCATACAGCCTGCAAGTCTTGCGAGGTGCTACTTCCGTTACTAAGCTGGTTCCAACCCCCTCTGCGGGGGCCAACTTGCAACATGCGAGATGGGGCCCACCTTACTTCCGGGACCAGATTTCCCGTGTCAAGTGTACATTCAAGAATATAGTTCTGGTTCCAAATTGCATGACCGCCAAATATGACTTCACTAGACCAGACCAAGTGTACAACGATGCTTGGCTATCACAGCTGTTGACAGTCGTAATAATTGATTAATCTGGGGATGGTTAGATCAGAAATTTGTTATTCCTGCAAGGATCATCAGTTCCTTGCTGGCAACTGACAACCAAAGGACCATTCAAAAAGGTATGAAACGTTGCTTGTCACTGGAAGTACTAAGGTCTCGCGAAGTGCCATGACCTATTTACGGGCCCTATTGTCTCATCCTACTGGTTCGAGGGTAGTGACTAACTAAGAGGTTGGTGTTACCTCAGGATGAAACTGTTGTTCTGTTCTAGTGTGGCAGTACGCACACCCATCTCCACTCTCGCACAGTGCTGGGTCCCCCCACTCATCTCCATGCTTCACGTTAGGACATGGTGTTGATCTGCAATGTGGAGGATTAATACCAGGGATGTAATCACACAATGAGTGAATGAATCTTGTTTTATACCATAGGAAACATGATCCATGCAGGTAAATGTCTAATCAGCGTTAAAACACACATAAGCATTTTTTTCTGAAACAGCACAAATAATATCTCCATTTATATTTGGCGTCCTGACTTAGATTTCATGTTTACTTTATGTACTTATTGCTGAACTCATTTTTTAATATGCTATATCATGAATATAAGCAATAAGGTAATAACTCTGGGGTAAACAGACCAAATCTCATATATCAATATTTTCAATGAACAGTCAAAATGTCCTTGAACACTATTGCATGGAGTCAAGACAGACAGGCGAGTACTGAAGTAAGGTAACACAGTCAGATAGAACAGCCAATCACTGTGGTCCAATCTGGGATAGAGTACACACCAGCTCATAACATTCATAACAACACTTCTATAAACTGTCAGGGTGTTATACATGTCATAACATACTCATGAATGTAGGCCATGACCCATAGTTTAGGGAGGCATTCGCAAGGACGTTGTAGTAGGTGACATACACAACTCAAAACATATCACTTCCCAGCAGTTATACCCCTTTGAAACTACTGAGTGCAACCCGCTAAAATATGACAATAAACCACAGTTTCGGTGCTTGTGTCAACTACAGTACTCTGACATATGAAATAAATAAATTCATAATAAATACACATATCATTTTGGCCATAACAGATGTCATCTGAACATATTACTCCTGAAACAAAGTGAACATCAGTGAATGAGTGAGTTTAGTTTTACGCTGCACTCAGAAATATTCCAGCTATATGGCGGCGGTCTGTAGAGAATCAAGTCTAGACCAGACAATCCAGTGATCAACATCATGCGCATCGATCTATGCAATTGGGATATGATGTGTCAACCAAGTCAGTGAGACTGACCACCTGATCCCATTAATCGCCTCTTATGACAATCATGGTTTACTGAAGACCAATTCAGGGATCTTCCTGGGTACGACCATTTCTTGAAAGCCCAATAAATCATCATCTTTATCAATATCAAAGTGTTCACTACTCAAACTCCCAAAGTATTTATGCATTCATTACATACATGGGTTAACACTTACCTGTATTTCACAGATTTGGGACTTCGTCTTCGATCTCTGGAGTTATGAAACTGTGGACATGCATAGCCTTGTCTACATAATCTAGGAGGTCGTTTACACTGTTCTGTTTTGTAATTTGATAAAACATAATTTGTATCTGCAAGAAAAAATATAATGATAAGTGTTGAAAATTAAGTGACCATGATGCTAAATTGGTTATAGATCACATTCATGCTGCTTAGACTTGTACGATTTGTAACAATAACTGTAATATTAACAAAGATTCACACCATTATACAACATGTCTAGTGCCTGTTCTTAAGGTGACTTGTCAAAATGCAAAACATGTTTGATTCAACTAACCTGAAATTTCCCATGCAATCATTTCCAACTGAGTTTGCTGTCAGTATTTGGATGTTAAAAACATGTAGCCATAATTGCTACAAATACTGTTTTCTTTTTAAAGCATTTAATCAATTTCTGATTTTGTATGTACATGTATATGTCTTGGAATGGTATATCAAGCTGCATTAGCCATGCACATCTTGTCAGCCATACTTTGTTTAATTTTCTTTCACATCAAGTAATCTTTATTTACTTTCAAATGTCACAGGCATGGACAGTTTCTCCATGTCTGCCATCTTTACCGGCAAACAAGGATAAGTTGGACCGGTGCAGAGAATGTGTTTACGAGAAGTAGGTGGTGCACAGCAATGAGCAAACCTATTTGGTTTGTGAAAGGTAGAGCAGATGTAGGCTAATGGACGTGCATTGCATGATGATGAAATTGATTCTGTGTGTAGCTGCACACGCCTTTCTCATAAGACTCTCACGTTGGTGTAGCAAGTTACACTACACTTGATAGCGGACAACCTGGCGCCCCTTCGCTAACAATGGCAAGTGCCAGTGGGCGGCACTCATACATGCTAATACGAGGTCAATTGTCAGGTCGGTGCTCAACTTATCCTTGTTTGCCAGTAGAATTAGTTCCACAGTTATTGTAATTGTTTACATGCAGTTTTTGCATATTTAAGGTTAGCTTTCTGCTGTGCAAACTTGTAAAACTAAAAGTAGTTTACCATGATAAGTAAAGTAGGTCAGTCATAGCATATCAGAGATTTGTAAACTCAACACACTGCACATGATGAAACAGAATCCTTGCAGTGTTGCATGGAGCTATCAAAATGCTATTACTAACACAGAGCAGTTATATGCATTCAATTGCAATTGGAATTTATGACTATCGAGAAAACAATGCTGGAAATGTCATTCTTGCTATTTCATTTTCATGTCTACAACACAAATACTTTTTAAGCTAGTCATTTGGTGACCTGTGAATTTTTATAGTAGACAAACTGAAACTTAGGTCACATTGGCAACTGTTTAGTCACACCTTTGCGGATTGCTTGTATATTTCTATATAACACCACCATGATCTCTAATTATTAGGGATGTAATGATACATAAGTTCCATGAATCGAAATGTATCATGATACCCATGTCACGATTCGATATGTATCATGATACCTATTTTCGCGGCATTATTGCATAAATTTAGTTACATTTTGAACATTTATATTTCATAGTTTATAATTGTCCATGAAAACATCAACATTTTTTATTCTCAGAGATAAAGAAGTTCAAATTATCCATCTTTGTGCATGAAAAATAGTCATTTATAACTCTCACAACATAAAAAAATTGATACAATTGCAAAATGTAAACGATACACAAACATACTTAAACCGATACTTTCAAAGCTAAATATCGATACAGTTTTGAATGTATCGATAATTGTATCATCTTAGAAAAGTATCGATGCATCGTGGCATCCCTACTAATTATACCATAATTTGTGGTCTTCTGACCACATCTCATTGCAGCGTAAGGAGTGAGCGAACGAGTATGTTTCTTTGCCGCTTTTAGAAAATTTCCAGCAATATCATGGCAGGGGACACCAGAAATGGGCTCAACCTAAGGAACACATGTTTACAAACCAAAACTGACTTTTAAAAAATATGTTGGTTGGTTGGATGATCTTTGCAAAGTACCATGACTGCACTAAGTTCACACACATGTGATAACCTGAAGTCATACACCAATACCTGGGTGCATTAACTGTACAAGTTACTGCAGGGATAGAAATAACTTTTTTCAAAAAAGCAGAATCCTGGAAACAGTTTTGTTACTATTAAAATTATCTTTAGGGTTTATCTTCTGGGTAAGGTTGCAAGCAGATCCTGTTACCTAATGAAAATCAACATTATCAACAATGTTTAGGCATAAATAGACATATCAGTAACATCATATATGGATACTTAGATGATTGATTTATGAAACAGCTGTTTTAAATAGTTATAGTTTATAATGCTTTAAGGACACCTGAGAGATACAATAACATCTAGTCTCTGAAATTAAATAGCTTCCTGGAAAATAAAAGATGAAGATGCCGTCGCCCACGTGATAACTTTTACAAAAATGCATAGGCTGTACTGGACATACTTGTTTCAGGGTCTGTATGACAGACGAGCTAAGTAAAGGCAGGTTTTCTTTCTGCTTGTACTTTATTCCTGTTGCATCACAAATTAAAGACCAGATCCACACTTACTACCAATTTTGGAAGCAAACCCAGTATAATATGTGAATGATTTAGCCACTCAGCTACCCTCTGCTCTATAGAATGAAGAAATACATAAACATTTTCTGATCCTTTCATCTCCATGGCAACAGTGAACTAAATTTAACACTTACAGATATCAATCTCACTTTAAGAAATTTGAAACTCTTGATAAAAAGTATGGATGAACCAGACGAGAATAGCCAGTAGTTTTAAATTACATGAATTAACAAGAGTCTACTTACAGCAACAGTTCCTGTTAACTACCAGTAATCACTACATGTGCTGTTAATCCAAGACTTATCTTATGACTCTACGTTTGTCAGAGGTTGTGATGACACAACATGACCTGACCTTGCACAAACACTTCTTCACAAAGGTCATGATCATCATCTACCGGCTGTTAAAACAGGAGCTCCACATGGAGACAGTTTTACTGGAGCTGTTCAGCTCGCAAACAAACCAGTATGCCAGTTTGCAAAGGCAAATTTCCGAGTCAAATGTCTGGACACAGCATGAATCACTTGTTGATGACTGATCATCATGACCATGCATGAGGTGCACATTATGCACTTTGTCAAGTCACATCCTGTTCCTGTGATCATTTCCCTGAGACATTGTAAGACAAGACCAATAAATAATGCATTCATAAAATGTGAATAATGCTGCATTCAACTGAATTTTTTTACTTTTTTCTTTCTGCATTAAAAATACTACTATTTTCAGAAACATGGCTACTCAGATCAATCAGATATATTCCATGTGTCATTTGTAAGTAACTAGAAGCAAATGGATTTAGGTATTTACAGAGCTTGAGAAATACTGGATCATATTGTCAATACTGGATTCTGCATAAGAATAGTACTTTTCATATAATTCTATTTGTTCAGATTTATAATACATATCAACAAAATTACATTGTTGATACAAATCTTGTGCCATTAGTGAGTGAGCGTAGTTTTACGCCGCACTCAGCAATATTCCAGCTATATGGCGGTGGTCTGTAAATAATCAAGTCTGGACCAGACAATCCAGTGATCAACAGCAAGAGTATCGATCTGCACAACTGGGAACCGATGATATGTATCAACCAAGCCAGCGAGCCTGACCATCCGATTACCTTAGTCGACTCTTACGACAAGCATGGGTTACTGAAGACCAATTCTAACTCAGATCTTCACAGGTCTCACGAAATGGTGAAAGAAGACCATACATAATAGAAATTTGCTGTACTGTCTTTAGGATTACTGATTCTTTCTTACTCTGGTCAATACCAGATATACTCGACGCCGTGGAAAGGGTAAGCAATATTTCAGCTGTATGATCTGTAAATAATCTTGTCTGGACCACTCCAGACAATCCAGTGATCTACAGCATTTACATCGATAGGATATGCATTTGGGATTCAATGACAGTGTCAAACAAGTGAGTCTGACCACCTGATCCTGTGAGTCCGCCTCTTGCAACAAACAAGGATTACTTGTTCTCTAATAACCAGGATAACAAGCTTTAAGTGATCAGTTAATGAGACAGGCTAAAGGACATGCCTAATATGACATTTACATTATCTATATCAGCCAACACAATTTGTAAGTCCACAATCATCAGTTGTCAACAAGGTTTTCTATGACTGGACCATGACCAACACTGGCAACACAACATCAAGGATCAAAGTTGCAGTCCCGGGAAGCTGGATAATGATCATTTAAATACGTAGGATGAATTATTATGAACATCTTATTTACTACAAGGTGAGTTTTTCCTACCTAGAATTACAGGGGTTTGAGGGTGGGGTGGGGTCATCTTAAATATGGGGAAGAAGATCTCTCATTGTTTTTTTCACTGGCAATGTTAGATACTGGTGGTCCGATTAATTAAAATAGTCGAAGATTGGTCGCAATAATAAAACGACCAAGCAATCGATCATGTTTCCTCATAATCGAACACAAACAATTTTGGAACACTTGTTTGCAATTATAATATTTTTCATAAGGTTGGTTTTGTCTCTGCATTTCATAAGCACTACAAGCTCGTTCCAAGTCATGATTGAATTTATCTTAAAATTAAAGACGCCAGGAAATGTATGTTCCTAACATACTAGTCATCCTAGTCATCCTTTAAAGATGTGCAAAAAAACGAAAGAACTCCGTATTTTGTGTTTCTTTCCTTTTTTGTGCATGAGCAAACATAACCAGGAAAACTTGATAAATGTCGCCAACCAATTATTTTCGATGATTGATTGGTTGTGATGAACCAATCATCAATTAAAAGATTTAAACCAATTCCCAACACTAATGTTAGAGGCGACTAATGGGATCAAGTGGTCAGGCTCAGTTTGTTGATACATGTCATCATATCCCAATTGCGTAGATAGATGCTCATGATGTTGATCACTGGATTGTCTGGTCGACACTCGTTTATTTACACACTGCTGCCATATAGCTGAAATATCGCTGAGTGCGGCATGAACAACCAACCAACCAACAGAAACTGATGTTGTTTGACAGTAGAACAACACATTTTATTTGAAATAACTGTCCCATGAAGTATTTTGCTGTGGTATTACAGTTCTTTGTCCATACTACACATATTCCGCAAATAAAGTTTAAATGTGCCCCGCCTCAATTTAATTTGCCGAGCCAGCTGACATGGTGAAAAAAAGTCTCTGCCATGGAAGTAAGCATGTGCAGGATCATAAAATCTTCTGACACAATGTGACATAACAGTTATCTTTACACACATATTGCATTTCAATCATTTCTGAATTCCCAGAAATATCCTTCTATTTATATTGTATTGAAATAAACTATGAAGAAGCAATAATGTAAAAATTAATGAAATAACATTTTAATATCCGAGATGTCCTTAATTGGTGCGTGTGTGACCTAACACATGATATCTAACCAGTGAGCGTGAATTCAAATCCGTTTTGGAAAAAGTGTGTATCGAAGACAGTTAAATAAACAAGCTCATAGGTAACCAAAACTATAACCAGAGATGCCAACCCTATTTGGACCTAAAAAGTGTAATACTAGTCTGTAATACTTGTCTGCCGATCGCTTCAACATGGTACACGTTTTCACGAAAGGAAGATTCTAGACAGAAACACATGTGACCAATCATTATGAATCTCCATACATCGAAAATTGTTGGTCATGTGCCTCAACATACTTTAATTCCTTGCAAGTTAACTGGAATGAGTGCGATGCTAAGAGTAAGCGATTCCTATCGATGCAAGGCCATTTCTGCACCCCTGCACCTGTGCTCTACGAAACACTTCCCTGTGAAAATTTATCCACTTAACTGATTTTCGAAAAACGAGTAGAAAAGCGTAATTTTCGCAGATTAAGTGTAATGGCGTAATTTAATGTTCAAAATCGTAATAATTACGCCTAAAGCGTAAGGGTTGGCATCTCTGTATAACTAAGACTAGTAAACAGAAACAAGGATAATTGGTAATAAAATTACAGGAAATAGACTGTCTTCGTCGAACATCCTTTAGTGCTTATATAAACAAAAAAGTTTGCTGACACAAATTTGGTGTCGCAACGTGTCAAGACACTGAATGGTACCATGTGATCAACTTCGATAAAAACATTAAAAAACACCAGGACACAAACATATTTTCCCTACAAATATCGAAGATGTGTATGTGCTGATGTGTTTAGCTCACGGTTGTGTTGTAGACAGGGAATATATATTAGCAAAATAGCATTGACTTTGAAGGTCTTGATACACAGCAATATATGGTACCTATACAAAACAAAGGGTTATCTAAGCATTGTTACACTCCAAATGATTATTTTAACTCTGAACAAAGCTTACCATTCCACTTTGGGTCTTCGGCTAATATTTTTTCCTTCTCTAGACTGCTAGGTGATGTTGAAACTTTATCTAGGACATCCATGGTTTGAAGCTCATGAATATCATAAACTGGTGGCCGAACATCCATTGTTCCATGGGCAAATGCACAGTGAGGGCCATTTTTTGTACAATGTCCACGAGGATCTGTCTCATACACACAAGTCCCTGTCTTATAATATCTCAAGTGATATCTTCTCTCTGTATCCCCGGCGGTCCGGTGTAGGAAGGGGCAACTGAAAACAAGATAATTTTCTCACTAAGAAAAATACATACACTTACTTTGACATTACTACTATTCAATGCAGTTTCATTAAAACATTGGCAGAACTGAAACATCTGTGTCACAAATGTTGTGCAACTGTAATATATCCAATGAGATAACATCTGCTTGACAAAATCAGAATCTATGTGTTGAGAAAATTTTTCATTAAAATAATTTTTTCCTGTCTTTTTTTTTTCAATTCAAGAAAGGTAAGGCAGCGTTCTACAATGCCACTGCATTCGCCACTGGAAAACAGTAAACAAAGGTCAAGGCCACTCGATGACCCATATTCAGGCACACTCACAGCTGATTTCCGTTTTTCGTCTCATTATCTTCTAAATCCCGCTGACAAACATGTTTTACTTAATCCTCTGAAGTAGAGTAATACTAGATTAGGTAACTTAATACCAAACATACACTGAGCAAAGGACAACGTAAGGAAATCGACTTCAAAAATGATTTTGTTTTGACAGTCTTCCGCGAAATATGGGAAGTGAACACAATGGACAAACGTGCTGACATCGCAATGTGCCGATAGATTCAAGTCCTTCGAGGAGATGACAGTTGACAGAATAATAAAATATCGAATAATCGGATGTTTTAATGAAATTTTACACATTTTAAGAGCCCCTGTACCCCTCAGATCACAGAAAACTACGAGCGAAAAATTCCTATTACGACACTTTGTTGTAGTGAACCTCATCAAAATGGCCGCCATTTTTGTTTACAACATGTCAAATTTCTCATCTTCATATCCACATACAGAATGCCGTATTGAACATGACAACTGTTTCAGAAAACGAACCAAAGGATGCTTTAACTGAAAATAGATTCCATTCCGCAATTTACCTACCAGTTTGGTGTCTAACATACAACTTTCTTTCACCAAATGCCCGTATGGCGATTTCCCACCAAAATTCAAACGATATGATAACTTACTCATCTCCATCGGGACAAATGCCTGTTGTCTCATCATACTTGGTGCAGTAAATGTCCGGACTATAATTGAAGGTCCCGTCTCTTCTCCGGACGGGCCGGCGTCTCCGTTGATTCAGAAAGTGCCAATGAAAACATGTGAATGGCCGGTGTTGAGTGCACTTGTGTTGCAGGAACAGAGTACACTGTTGAGTTCTAAATTCTTTCAGATACCTGAAACGCAATTAAATGAAATATCAATACTTCGACAACACTTTTCAGACATTGCCTCGTCATTTTCATGACATGTCTTGCTTTGGGTACACAAGGAACTTACATGTAATGGGGCGGTTTTTCCGTTTGAGTTGGTAGAAGCGGTGCTTCCGACGGCATTTTTGTTGTTGTCAATAGTGGATTTTACGCGCATCCATGTTGCGCATAGTGAATCACGAGTAATGATTGGTTCATAGTGGTCACATGGTCGGGACTTCCCCCTGTCAGAGCTCCTCGCACCTGTCAGTATGATGTTTACATCGTGTCTATTCAAAACATCACATACCTGAAAACGATTTATTGTGATCTGACAGACATTAAATAAATATGGCCAATTACTTGAGTTTATATTCTGATGATTTTGAGCTTACAGAACGGTACTATATGTTTCAGTGTAAATGTTGCCGCTCATATTAAGGGATTTCTTGCTGTATATAGATGTATAAAAGACCTTTAAATTTTTCTATTTACAAAAAGGCGTTAGACGAGATGTTTGATATATCTTACGTAATATTTATTTCAATCACTGCTAGTATATCAGGATACAAACAACCCATATTCCATCAGAATATTACATATGAGTATATATCGGTGCATGAGTACGAGTGTCCCTTGTTCGTGGTAGTAGTTCTTGAAGTAATTTACGTTAACATACCAATTGGATCCTGCTTATGTCCGAATTATGGTATTTTGAAATGACATTGATGACGCAACAGATATGGTTTGAACTGGACTCGTAAACGGAATTTAGTTGTCACCCTTGACACTTACAGGGGCGGATACAGCTTTTTGAAAAAGGAGGGGTGCACACTCTTGAGAAAAGGAGGGGTGCACACTTCATTTTCACCCATTTTCATGGGTTATTCATTAACTTTCAGGACAAAAGGAGGGGTGCGAACCCCTGCACCCCCCTTCTTTATCCGCCTATGCACTTCTCGCTCACAAAATAGGAAGAAAACAATGCATTAGTTTTCATTTACCAGAATACCACGGATCTGCCATCTTACAATCTGCATTTTCCTTGGTCTTGTCGTTGTTGTTAAATACAAAAAACAAAACAAACTTGCCACTACCCCCCCCCATCAGCATGTGTACCTCTTCTTTCTTTCGTTGTTCTACGGCCTTCGTTTCAAACACATATCCATACATTCTTGAACATTATGTAACATCAGTTGATAAATTTTTCTTTCACTCTCCTATGTTTCAAGATATTTAGTAAATGTGTGGTAATTAAGATGTGATTTTATTAGGCTTTTATGTAATTTACTCATTTCTCTGTAATGCGAGGTTGAATGAAGTGTTACGTCATCAATGGATTGTCTGGTCCAGACGGGATTATTTACAGAAAACAGCCATATAGCTGGAATATTGCTGAGTGCGGCGTTCAACAACAAACAAACAAACACAAACAAACGTCGGGTTCAACATTATTCCACGAGCACGCACGAGTGTGTGTGCGTGCGTGCGTGTATTTGTGCCTGGTTGTACGAGTCCTGTACCATCCAAGCAGCTAACATTCTACAGTCTGATGTCAATCACTGGAATGTCGGGACCAAATTCGAATATTTACATACATGACGTCATATAACTGAAACATTTCTGAGTGCGACATTAAACAACATACACACAAAACAAACAAAGCATATTAAAGTCGCATGTCTTGTGAAAAAGGACGACGTGTATTTCAGGTCATGTTACATTTGCATCCCAACAGTACACTTGAACTAGACTTACATGTCAAGGTCACCTGTTTGTGTTTATAGATGAGCTCGCCAACACATGGCTCCGCACGCACTGATTTGTTGTATAACGCCACACACAGCAGTATCCAAACTATGTGACGGCGGTCTGGTAAATACTGAGGCTGGACTAGAAAATCCAGTGATTGCCATCATGAATATCGGTTCAACAATCTGGGTAGGATGAAGATGGTTCTTGAAATAACCCATGCCTGTCGTAAGAGGCGACTAACGAGATCGGGTGGTCAGACTCGCTGACTTGGTTGACAGTTGGGTAGATTGATGCTCATGTTGTTGATCACTGGATTGTCTGGTCCAGACTCGATTATTCACGGACCGTTACAATATAGCTGGACATTTGCTGAGTGCGACGTTAAACAACAAACAAACAAACAAACTAAATTTGGACTCTTCTGCTCACCGTTCAGCATTCTCTCTCTATGAATACGCTGTAATGTTTCGCACAGCGAGGGCAATAAATGAATAACGCGCTTGATGCTTGACGTTTTTCAGCGCATATGGGGCAGATGTGTAGCCTAGCGGTTAAAGCTCGTCGGTGTTTGATTCACAACATGGCTTATATGTGAGGAGCCCATTTCTTGTATCCCCATAGGTTTCTTAAAAAATAATTCTAACACGGATATATTTGTATAAATGACAATATTTAATATCGTTACTGTCATCTGTCACCGCTACACTTAAAAGGCAGAGATATTTAAAAGGTTTCAACATGCATTGAAAGTGATATTTAGAACACAGCGACAAGGTTTTATCTTTTGAAATAAACTTCGATTTGATTTTCAAAGTAGCACAGCCGAAAAGGAAAAACAGTTCTCAGTTTAAATACTTTCCAAAATCATTAGCATAAATTACTTTTTCCAGTAATTTTATGCAACAAGCTAATTTGTTTCCAAATCTGACTTCAGCGAGTTAATGTATGTTTGATCAAAGTATAGGTTGGATGGGAGAGTATATCATCGTGGTCATATTAAAGTTCATATTGTATTGATGCATATAAACATCCCTTACTGAAACACTTCAGTGGTTGTAACAAAGAAGGAAATATGGATATCCCCATTTCCATTCAGGGACAGATTACTTCCATGGTTCCTTTACTTGCTTGGCGAACACCAAGGGATAATATTGCGATACCTGACTCACTGTAGGTAACCAGGGCTCGGGGGCGGTGGAGTAGCCTAGTGGTTAAAGCGTTCGCTCCCCACGCCGAAGACCTGGGTTCGATTCTCCGTGAAGCCCATTTCTGGTGTCCCTCGCCGTGATATTGCTGGAATATTGCTAAAACCAGCGTGAACTAAACTCACTCACTCACTCACTCACTCACCAGGATCCGGTGTCGTAGATCGTGGGTCTTGATATCACCCACTGGTTGACCGCCTCATCTTGCATCGCTGATAAAACAACTTCTACTCAGTCGCCACGGAAGATGGTTATCAGGGCGCAACTACAAAACATGCATCTCGTGTCAGGTGAGCTATATGGTAAAGGCCCCTATTGGTTGGTCTGTATACAGAGTTAAAATGAAAATTTCCTTATGGGGTACTGCTTATCATTAGACTGTGTGTGAGTGAGTGAGTTTACGCCGCATTGAACAATATTCCAGTTGTATCACCGCTTGTCAACTCAATTTGGAGGATATATGACTGAAATATTGCCGATGTGTCTATAAAGCCACTCACTCAGAAGTTTACATCTTCGTTGAAACCCAAAAGGCACAAGTATTCTGACAGACCTGGAAACATAATCGGGGACCCCTGGGATTCGAACCCACAATTATGTGTAGGTGCGTCCGTGGGTGCGTCGGTGCGCGGGTGAGCGTCTGTGTGTGCCAGCTCTGCATCGCGAACTGCGGCTCGTAGCCAATGTGTTAAGAATGTGCTTAAGAAGTTCGTAAGGCTCCGAACGTTTCGAGAATAGCTAGCCTGGGCCTAGATTTTCGAAGCTCTCTTAACGCTCAGATAGTCGTAAGTGCCATACATTAACATTAATTTACGACTATCTTAGCACTAAGAGAGCTTCGAAAATCTAGGCCCAGGGCATACCTTGTCTGTCCAAACATTACGGTTTACATAAGGCTGATTGGCTAGATGACGCCGATTGTTTCATATTTTTCATTAATGGCGAAGAACCCCACAGCAACTTCACGTCGTACGGACGCATCGTCTGTAATAATTGAAGATGGTATCTTAGTTCGTGAGATTAATGTCATTTTATGGCGTCGCGGTCGACTGAGTTGAGGTAAACAATTAGATTGGTTGGTTGGTTGGTTGATTTGTTGTTTAACGCCGCACATAGCTGTTCCAACTATAGTAAATACTCGAGTCTGGACCAGACAATCCAGTGATCAACAGAATTAGCATCGATCTGCGGGATACGATGCCATGTGTCAACCAAGTCAGCGAGCCTGACTACTCGAGCCCGTTAGTCGCTTACGACAAGCATGGGTTGCTGAAGACATAAACATTTAGAACACACAGCCACGTGTTATACATTTTCATAGAAAACAATTATACACTGGAAGGTGATATAGAAAATAACCAGCTCACAGCTCCATCGTGAACTAAATTGAACGACCATTGCCAATGAAAGCGACTTACTATATTCATTCGCTTAGCGCAGATATTCCACAGTTTCTGGTAGCTCTTACCTTTTTCTGTTAATGTGAGATGAAGTTGCTGAGCATATATGTAGTTATGGGATGATTAACTTGAATAATGGTGATCTTGGCATCATTGATTATACAGCGTACAACATATCCATTGTATTATATGCATCATAACATATTGGATATGTGCATAATAGTGTATTGGTAATCCAGACTGCAGTATTCTATGCTCGTTTTAACAGACCTACAGTTTCGGTTGTTGTTTAACACCTAGTCTGTTATACAGATCCTGAAACAAATACATCCAAGAAAACCCACGCAAGTCTAGATTTCCACAGTTTCGGGTTGAAATTGAAGAAAGTATCTGGACTCCTTTTCCTTATATTTTATGATTTTTATTTATGAACATCTTTTACTGTAAAATATGTTCATTTCAGAGACTAGATGTTAGTCTATCTAACACCGCATTCAGCATCATCTTAGCTATATGAAGGCGGTCTGTATAAATACTCGAATCTGGACCTGACAATGAGGTGAACAACAGTATGTTCTATCATGTTTTATATATGATTCTATCTTATACTCTGCAAATAATACAACTAAATCTAAATGATAAACCGAAAGAATATACTATGATATTATGGATAGCCCTAGACTGACTGACTGACTGAGTTTGGTTTCAGCCGCTTTTAGCAATATTCCAGCAACATCACGGCGGGGGACACCAGAAATGGGCATCACACATTGTGCCCATGTGGGGATTCGAACCTGGGTCTACGGCGTGACGAGTCAACGCTTTAACCATTAGGCTACCCCACCGCCCGAT